TCGTAACCTTGCATTTTGACACATCTTATATATAACATAGCAAATAATTAAAGTCTATTAAAATTGTTTAATGATGTGAAAACAATTAAATATCTATAATATCTTTAAAAATGTATAGGTTTGGTCAGCATTTATAGACCACCTTGTATATTTACCAATAATTTTTAAATATGTGGTACCACTTTCATATTAATTTTTTTGTAATTTTAATAATAAAACTGCTATAGATTAATAACGCATTTGTATATGTGTTATTGGCTAACTTTAAGAATTTTTTCAAAACACTCTGTATAAAATAAACCAGTTCTATCACATAATTCGTTAGCTTAGTGTCTTATAAGTTTGTATATTAAACAATTTTGAAATCATTGTAAATCTAGATAAATTATGATAATTTATTTTGGGCTCGGCATTTCATAAAAAAAATTTATTGCTTGGCAAACCTGCAATATTTTGAATACAGTATTGCCAAACCATTCAAAAAATAAAATAAAATACAGGAGGTTCAATTTAAAAATATAAATTTTTATTTGCCAGGCAAACACAACACCCTATATAACCAAAAATATTTTTAAAATATGTATTTTTTAAATTCATATTACTTTTATTTGAAACTTTTTGATTAAATAATTTATACAATTGTGATTGGTAAAAAATGACTAACTATTAATTTTTTGTACTTCTAATCAAAGATTTTAGAAAACGAATATTTAGATAAAATTGTTATGAAAGAAATATCGCTTTTTATAATTTACATCATTTGACACAAGTAGTTATTTCAAATGTTTTGTAAAAGGAAATATATATTAATGTATACTTACGGCAAGAGCGGCTCAAGGGGGGCACTATACGGGCCATGCCACCCCCCCCCCCCCCCCCCGGATGTAAATTCTTACTTTGTATGAGCCTTTTTGTTTTTTTCAAGAAAATGAAAAAAGGGAATGGCCAAAGGCAATAACCTCCCCCCCTTCCCCCTTATTAAAACTAACATATCGTCGGCTTACTGCCAAAGTGACCAAATCAAAAAAATCTCATTTTTGTTTTTATCGACCAAATCACTTAAAACTATTTACTCTATATCTGGAAAAATTGACTAAGCTAGTAACTAATTTAAAAAAAAGTTTGCGTTTTTATAAGATTTGATTTTAGGTCCCTAGTTTCATATTTAAAACTGTTTATCTTAAAAGTTTGTTTATCTGACTTGGTCAATTTTGGCAGTAAGCCGACGATATATACTTTTTAATTAAGAATTCTATTAAAAATTGTATTGTCAGTATATGCAAAAATTGTCCATTAGTACAAAAATGAATTAGCGCTGCTGTCACGCACGGAGCGAATAGATAAAGGTATTTTTCGCGTCATAAACCAACATAAACGTTTATGATAGATCATGTTATTTAGGCATGATCTTCCATTTTGGCCGACATCAAGGACCAGAGGGGAGGTTGTAATGACGTCACTGTTTAGCATACTCGAACATGATCTCATCCACAGGCGGTTATGTTAATTCATGTGTTTGACAAATGACTACAGACGGTATACAAAGCTAAAAGATGGCTTTAATTTTAAAATTTAAAATAAATAAGATTGAAATTGAATTAGATGAAAGTGACGAAATTATTCAACAATTAAAATATAGTAAATATAAATAGATTAATTAAAATAACATAAGTAGAATTTGTTGTAATTTTTAGACAATACATTTAGGTACATTAAATATTAATATAAAATAATTAAACTGTTTTTACTCTTAGGAAAAATCGCATGGTTTACACACACATGAGTAATTATAATAATAAAAAATTGTTACTTCAACTCACTGCCCACTTTCAAAATAGCATGGATTTTCCATTTTCGCGCCAACATATACCATATGTGGTGGGGGGATAGACGAACATGATCGAACCACTGATCTGTAATATTTTACTGGATAGGATATAGGCTATATTTAACATACTAAAAAACCGTTCCACCAAGGAGACCGGAAGTGCAACAATGGTGGCCGATTTGGGCAAATTATGGTGGGTTCACAGAACTGAAATTTGGGATAATTTGACATACCTAACCTATAATTTGATTAGTTGTTCTTCTTATTCTTCTTCTATTCCTTTTGTGGGCGATGTCCTTCGGGAAAATTCACCCATGATTTGATTTTTTATGAAATAAAATATAAAAATGGAAACGTGAAGCATATGGAATGAACGTTTATTATTTATTTCATACTCTTTTTACTTTGTTTTCCACAATAAAAACATCTCATCGTAGCTTGTTGACAGAATTAAATGACAAATGTGATGACAAATTGAAATTGAGGTTACGTTAAATAACATCCGGTCCGCCATATTATTTGCCCAAATCGGCCAATTTTTCGGAACGTTTTTTAGGGGGTTATATCCTATCCAGTAAAATAATACAGATCAGTGGATCGAACAGCATAATCCGTTTATGTCGCGAAAAATACCTTATAGATGCATAGATAGATGCAGCTGATGTTACTCCCCTCTGCACTGTTAGTTACATAACTTAGTAGTAGTTATTATCGATAAACGTCAAATCGTTTGAAATTCATAAATGAATAGAAGTATATTTTTTTCTCCATAAAGTAATATCGGTGTCGTGATTTGTATTAAATAGTGTTCTGATTGTTTCGTAAAAGTTTATAATGGATCAAGACCCTTTAAAGTAGTGACCGAACCAGAATTATTAATAATCGTAAGTTTCCTGATAATAGTATATTATGCAACGATCATGTAATGATGGTTATTAATACACGAGCATTAACCGGGATACGAAACGAGCCAAAGGCGAGTTTCGTATGGTTTATGCGAGTGTTTTAATAACCATTACATGAGAGTTGCATACGCTATTTTTTCTACACCCGATAAATAATCAAGACCTATAAATATTCTATTTATATTGGTATTGAACACAATAACAGTAATTACTCGTATTTCTATAAAAAATTCTACAAAATTGTAATTAATGGTATTACCTTGGGTACTGGTATTACCACAGATTTTTGGGGCAAAATATTTTGTACTGCATTTTCTCCTTTCTCCTATATGTGTGGAGGAGTGTTCTATATCGCTGATATCAGACATTTTAATATTATAATTATCGAAGTTTAGCTATCTACGAAAATTTAATACGTTTTGACAACTAAAACAATTACATAGGAATTTAGGACAAACGTCAAACATCATGCTTGATTGAAAAATTGTAGGTTTCTATTGATTAAAAATCTGTATCATAATGAAAAATCTGTATCATAATGGGTATCATTATGAAACGGATTATGGGCATATAAGTGCATTATTATAATACGGGTGTAGAAAAAACTAATTTTATAGCCTACCTTTCATCGATATAAACAAGCAATATATATATACTGATTATAAAACGAAAAAAGATTAACTATATTTGTTTTCTCTTTGCAACTGGTGACATAATGAACTTTACGTAACCAGTTAAATAATATTCATCTTTATGCTACTGATTGCATAAAGTAGATCACTTTATATGTCAAAATTAGAAAAACTTCATTATGTCACCAGATGCGAAAAAAAAACAAATAAAAACAAAGGGCAGGCAGAATAGAATTTGATTAAACTAACAACCTATAATATTGTTGTTTTGGTACGTACTTTCAATTTTAAATCAGCACAAAATAAGTAAAACACAATACAGGACAAAATTACACACTTTCTTGAAATTTAAATAACTTAAACACACAATATAAACACACTACAAGTCGTTGAGAATAAATTAATATTATTTATAAGAGTAAATTTTGGCGACAGTTCTGAGAGTGAGATTTCAGACCTCAACGATGACTTACAATTACTTATCTGTTGCGTAAAATTTGTTTATTTTTTGACTTATAAATTTGTAATTTTGAAATTCTTTGTTTACCTACAAATTTTGAGATAAAATTTAAACCTGTGTCGAAATTTGCCAGAGACCGGAGCTATTTTTTGCCTATACCTGCATAGCGACGGCTGGCAATGGCGCGCTTCATAAGACTTCACACTACATTCGTACATTATCAGTGTGTCTTGCACTATAGCTTAATCACAATGGCACTATCAATAATAATGTCAAAGTAATCGGGCCTAAAATATTATTTTTTTAAATTTTATTACTGGAATTATTTTTTCTTGTGCATGCGCCTTGGTTATTGGCTCTTAAAGCTTGTGTTTAAAATTTGTTGTTTTTTTTACAAACACCATCGCGAAAATGTTCAAAACGGATTCAGGGTAAGTGCTCCAAAACGTAAAGATCTGTAGAAAAAAAACATAATTCCTATGCTTTCCTTACTGGATACAAGAAACTAAAATGTCAATGTAACTATAGTAATAATCTGATATCTAAAATTAGGGGATGAAACTATTAAGTAATTCACCCTGTATACAATATTTATTTATCGGATACTGACCTCATTTAATCGTTATGAATGAAATTTTTTGAGCGCGTAAAACCTGTCTATCGATATCGTATAATTAGCTGATATTTTTATACGTTACCTAATAAATAATTAATCAGAATTTAAGTGCTTCAAAAAAAGTAAACTATATGATCAAATCTATTTTTAAATTGTGCCATATACTGACAAAAATGCGAATCAATAAAAAAGATCGCAACAATATTAAGGTCTATATAAATTCATTGTTGTTTCCTACTTATACAAGAATGCGGAAAAAAGTTTTTCTACTATACCTGTCATATTGGAAAAACCAAAAGTATTTTAAACAATTAAATTTTAAGACATATGATAAAAGAAAAATAGCGTGTGAACAGTCTCATATTATCAGCAAGCGATGGACATTTATAAGACGGTACATTAAACAGAAAAATCACTTCAGTTTATTTCGATGAAACGTGGATATTTACCGAAAGAAATCTTATCAAACAATACTGGCAAAAGATGGAACAACAAAAATGATGATGATTTTCAATTTAGTTTACTACATTTTTGTTTAGAGGTATTTTTTATGTTTCAGATATTATGGACAGCATTATCAGTAGCTTTAGGATTAGAATTAAAAGGTGAATATATCCGTGGAGTTCCTTGCATAAAGCGCAATCAGCAATTATATTGTCCAACTGCGGGAAATTCATATCCATTGTAAGTATACCTACCTACTCATAGACAATATGTTTAAAAATTAAACATTATTTAGCAAAAAACTCACTCTTTTTTTTAAACTTATATAGATTGGAATGTGTTTTTACCAGACTAGGTATAGCATAAGTAGAAGTTGGAAAGGCTTTTGCCAGTTCTCCCACTTTATACACATAAATTGACAGGTTTTCGGCGGATCTAACCGAAGTGGACGCGATACATTGGCGTACAAAATTAATTTATAGATGTTAATAACAATTTCGAATAAATAGTTTAATAAATTGTGAATAGCTGTTGAACTTTTGTAAAATTATAATTTGAATATTATAATACATGTTTAATAATTATTTATGGTCCATAAATACGTGCGATTGTCCGGTTCCGCCGGTAACAATTTAAAATTACTTATTTTATGAAACGACACTGGTAGGTAAACATTAATGCGAAATTCTCGAAACTGTCCGACATGATTTGACGTTTACCCCCTCTCTACCTACCAAAAGCCATTCCAACTTCTACTTGTGCTAAAGGTACTAACTAGAATAAAATTAGATAAGCAATAGTAAATTAATTAATTGTTACTAACAGTTACCCAACCGGTATTTAACCGAAGAAAATTTATTGCATATACTTTTGTGCATACATCAATTCGGCAATCCAACGTCCCGTCAGAATGTACAAAAATGGTCGATGCTTGGCAAAAACAACAAAGTTTCTTGACCTGACTTTTTCATTAGTATTTGACTGTTATTAAAAATCATACAATTAGTATTCATACATTCAAAATAAATATTAAATTATGGCGTTTTTCAACTAAACACATCGAAAAAAAATTCTAAAAATTAAAAAAAAAATAATACAATCACTAGATGTGTTTTTGTCAAGCGAAGCACGTACTTTTGTTGTTTTTGCCAAGAGTCCGCCATTTAAAGTCACGTGATTTGGATTGCCTAAATAGCACATACTTAAATAGGTATACGGCGTAAAACCCTCTGCGCATCTTTACTGAGTGTTTAATAAAAGAAGAGAAATGACCGCCATTTTTATATAAACAAACTGAAACTTATGCAACCAATTTATCTTTATTTGTCAAAAGTGTCAAATTTTAATATGTTTGTGAATTTGGTTAAATTTTTTTGTGTTATTTTAGAATATTTTGATTGTGGATATTATTTTCTTAAGTGTATAAACGTTTTATTTATTTTAACATTTGTGAATAGACTTTAATCCCAGTATAAGTTCTCTATACTGGGCTTTATTCAAGATGTCTTGTCTTGTAAGATCTTGCAAGAACATAAGAAGACTGTTGCCAATAGATTCAAATGTTACATTCCACAAGTAAGTAATAAAATTTAGCAAAAATAAAGGATATGAAAGAAGTGTCTATATTATTTTAGGGTTCCAAAAAAAGCAGATCGTTCCTTATTGTGGTTATCTGCCATATAGAGATTGGACAAAATTTATTTTAAGTTTTTAATACAATTCACTGCAGAATCAATAAGGACGACCCGTTCACTAAAAATTTGTAGCTTTTAGAAATTATACAAGAAGAAAGTAAATTGTTTAAAATAAAACAAATATGCAACCATCAATTTAATTATAAAGTATCCTGGAAATTTTAATATTTTTAACTTCCTCTACTGTACTTTTGTCATTTAAAATTAGTATTTAGGTATTTAATCTATTATTTGTCGGCCTATTATTTATCAGCCTAACATGTATTTTTAAACATTAAAATATTTTTTTTTGTTGTAGAATAAAAATTTAATTCAGATATAATATTGTATTATTTCTTTTAAAAAAATCTGTACAAAATGATGTATTTAAAAGTGAAAAGACCTAGACATCTGCAACCAAGTTTTCATATTGCTGTATTTCTGGTCACCTATGTACTAGTAATCTTGTATAAAAATGGCCGCCCCTTTGTTAAACAGGTCGGACGTCTCTCTTGCTCCGTATACCTATTATAAGTATGTGCTAAATAGCCATTCCAACGACCTGTCAAAATGCTGCCAGTGGGAACTGACAGTTTAGATATGGCAAACTCAATGAACTGGAGTGAGGTAGAATGCTTGTCAATAGGCTTGAAATGCGACTCTATGGGCGAAGACAGGTTATTTTTCATCTCACTCGGGAGTATTTATAACAACCATTTTCTATTTTACTTTGTTATTGTCTGATCCACCAGCTTGTGGATTGAACAATAACAATGTGAAACAGAAAATGGTTATTATAAATACTTCCGAGTGAGATGAGAAATAAAAATAGCTGCGCCCATAGAGTCGCATCTTGTTCTATTGATACAATATGCATATTAGCTTTCTACCCCACTCCAGTTCATTGGGCAAACCTGTGGACCTGTTGCCATTGACGGGGTCAATGATACATATATAGTTATATAGATTGCTTAAAGCGGGTCGTTTGCGAGCGGCCATATTGCCTGGCACGTGTTCATTAATTTGTATCGGTTTAGCAAAAATGTGTTTTAAAACCAATTTTCAGCCTTTGAGTAGTAAAATCAAAATAATTACCTACATTTTAACTTCAAGTCATATGCGTGTTCATTTTTAAAACATGGATGATCAATAGATCCTGTCAAATCAACAGGTCCACAGTGTTGCCATATTATAACCTATCATGTACCTGAATTACTATATAGAGTGGGCAATGTTTGACATTCATACCCTCCCCCGATTTGAGCCCCCAACGAAACACTTAAACATATTAATAAAACAATAAATAAAATAATACGTTTTTGTCTATGTAGAGATCGAATAGAATTATTTATAGACGAAAACAAAGCCCTGATGAAGCGCATGTACGGTGAATTTGACATGCCCGATTACGAGGCGAAGACCGGCCCAGGCGCCAAGAGGAAGAAACGCTCCTCGAAACCGGGCGTGCCGGACCTGCACTTCGATCCCGGACCCGATCCCGTTAAAACCACGGAAAAACTCTTCGCGAAGAGCAGGAGTCCCAGGCAAAACTTTAGGAATAACCAAAGCTCTGAAAGCGGCAGGTAAATATACCAATATTTTTCTACGACTATTAGTAGTTTTTTAGCAACCGTTTTTTAGATACTATTTTTTTAGCAACAATTTTTTTTAGTACATGCATTTTTACATTTTTTACCCACAAAAAAAAATATTTATAATGGATTAAAAATAGTAGGATATTAAGGGAAAGTATAAGAAAGAAAAGAATCGATATATTTTTCTCCATACGAAGTTTAATATTTTAATAAAAGTATAACCATTATACTGAATACATTATTGTATTCATATTTAAATTTGTTTAGTTTGATTATAATTTTACTTTTAAGTGGGATGGAGTCATAAATCTTAGGGTCACAAAATAAGAATGTTCTAATGTAGTAATTATTTATTTCGAATTTTTAACCATATTTTCTGTTTTAGAATAGACACGTGCGAGAGTAAAATAGAAATAGTAACTCCCTACTGGGCCTCGAACTCAGCGGGAAAAATTCGTGCCATAGTGAATACTCAGCATTTTGAGCAGGCCATACATCAAGAAGTATGCGCGTAAGTATAATATTCGTCTTCTTTTCTTATTACAAATACCTATAATAATCACAAATCACCGCTGCAAAAACGTCTGACAATTAAAGGCCAGAATGAATCGATTTTGATAATGTAGATTATGTTTTAATCAAAGACTTTCTTTAATTATACTAGCAATTTATATTTAATGACTCTTGGTAATGCCATGTGAGCTATTTTCAACCAACATTGTATTTCAAATAATCGATTATTTCGAATAATCAATTCTTTTCAATCAATCGATTATTTTGTTAAATCGATTATTTAGGTTATTCGATTATTTTAAATTAATCGATTATTTTAATAATCGATTTATTTATTTTGATGATCGCCCTAATAGTAGGTACATACATGCTGATATATGTAATTGTATTCAATTATCTTTAGTTTAATTAGTTATGTAAAGATTATTTGATGCCAATAAAAGTTTTTCAAAATTAATCTTTTGGAAGTAGTTGAACGACTCATGGGCGTATTATAAGGGTTTCATAGGTCGACCGTCGACCTATTCGATGAATATTCTTGGTAACGAAAAAGACACAAGCCGTAAAAGAGCCAAATAAGGCAGAGCGGGACAAGGGATTATAGCATGATGACTTACAAGAACGATAAAAAATTATTAGAGCCATTATATCTCTTTATTGTAATTTAATTATTATAATAGGAAAATATTCTCTTACTTCTTGCATTCTTGTATTGTTGCTACGAATTATCTTACTTTCTTGTATAACAATATTTTGATTATTAAATGATGATAAAAACATTTTACTATATTAAAAAATATATGCAATTTCAGGAGGCAATCAACAAAACGGTGTACAAACGATTGCGGCTGTGAACAAAAATATAAATGGCACCGCCTCCTAGCTTACGATCCAGATAACGACTGCAAAGGAATATTCATGGACTGGTTTCTGTTCCCTTCTTGCTGCGTCTGCAGGTGCGCCCCATAAACCAAAAGAACCTACGAAAAGCTGATGCCTTACTATCATTTTTATTGAATGTTCCTACTAGGAATACTTATCTGTAAAACGTGCTTATTCATTTTAAATAAAGTACACACTATACAACTGTTGACAACTGACGATTTAGTACCATCGAAACGTCAAATGTCAATCTTAAATGTCTTATGTCACTTTTGAAATATTAAAGTAATCGTTTTAAAAAGTATTGGAAATTTTGTTTTTATTGACAACTGACGATTTGGTACAGTCAAAACGTCAAATGTTAATTTTAAACATCACTTTTGAAATGTTAAAATTATCGTCTTAAAATTATTAAAAACTTTGTTTTTATTTATGTAGAAATTAGAAACTCTAATGATCTGAACTATATTTCTTTCGATTTATTGTTACCAACAAAATTTTAATTGTAGTTACCATATTTATGACTTAAATGTAGTGTTTAGTAGGTAATGTAAAAAATATTTTTTTTATTTGTATTGAATTTTAGTTATTCTAGGTAAGTCCTAAGCATAATATATTTTATTAGAGAATTTTATGTATTATTTTATATTTACAGTTATGTTTTTAAATAAAAATTTTGCTGCCATTTTGATGATTTTATAGATTTGTTTTTATTAAATTATTGTATTTGTAATATATAAATATATATTTATACATTTAAATTTTTATTGAAACATCGATTATGACTGACCAATCATCGACGTCTTAGGCTTACTATGGTAATGTGTGGCTCTGCCGTAGTTGACTGCCCGTTTCCTAGCTACTTGTGGGATAACAATGAAGAACCTTTCAAATGGCAATGAAAACGACGGGATAATCCCCTTGATAGCCAGCAGAACGGCGGAGAACCAATGAAGGTTACCACTGGGGCTGAGTAATTATTAAAATAAATAAGCGATTATCGATTGTTTTAAATAATCGATTAATCAAAAATAATCGATTAATCGAACTAATCGATTAATAGAAAATAATTGAATAATCGAAATAATCGATTAATAGAAAATATATTAATCAAAAATAATCAAATAATCAAAAATGATCGATTAATCAACAATAATTGATTAATCGGAAATATTAAAGTTTATTAATTGATTAATCGTAAATAATCGATTACCTTATCGATTAATCGAAAATAATCGATGCCAGATTATGAGAAACGTCGAGAAATACACTTAATATTTTTAATTTTTTCAGAAAATTCGTCTGAAAAGTCGAAAAAATACGGAAAGGTAAAAATTTTGTTGTTAATTTTCGACAAACAAAAAGAAATTTGCAGAAACGAATAAATCGGCTGTCCAAAAAAGGTGGTTTAGCCATTGTTGAAAAGCTACTTTAATGTAGTTAAATTTCAGATTTCCCACGCCATTTGGTACGGAGATTTAAAAAAGATTTTACCTTAATATAATCAGAATTTTTCGAAAGAAGCGAAATTTTTCGCGATTTTTTTTATTATTTTTTCTCCTTCCCCTGTCATAAAAACCTTGACATGTAATACATTTATTAATGCTCCTCGTCAAGCCGGTTAATTCTTAAGGTAGTTCACTGGTAAAACGGCTTTTCTTAAGAATTCAATAAAATTAAAATATAAGGTTATCTGTAACGTGTGGAGGGTGGGTTACCCCTACGGCACTTAGGCCTCACTAGACCCATTGTGCATCCAGACGATAGCCAGTCTACAGATTTAATGTAGTTGACAACGTCGCCGCATACAAATCTCCTAATAAATGAGAGCGTCGTCGAGCAATCGTAGAGGATATGCTCGATGGTCTAATCTTCTTGTTCGCACCCTCTGCACAGTATGGATTCTGACAGCCACATGTTATGGAGATGCTTCCGTACTTGGCAATGACCAGTCAGAATGCCTGTGACTAGGCGCGGATTCTTTCTAGTCATAGTCAAGTATTTGTTTGCTGCAGTGTTGTCAGGATAACTTAAAAGCTCCCTGGCAACTCTGCAGTTTCTTGTTTCATCCCATCTTTCCTTGAATTTCACAAGGGAATGTTCTTTAATTAGGTCTGTCACTACCGATTTTGTCAGGCCAATAGAAGGGCCAGGTCCAAAAAGTATTTGGTTGGCTTATTTCTTGGCCAGTGAATCAGCGAGACGGTTACCTTTCGATGTGGCGTGACCTTGATCCATCTTAAGGTGATCACGTTGTTGATGGACACTTCGGCCAAAACTTTGTGACATTCTAGTACTAACCCTGAATAAATTCGTGGTCTGTTCAGGGCGAGTAGTGCTTGTCTGCTATCTGTATAGATTAGCATGTTCCTGTTTCTGGTGATTTCTTTGCTGCTATGAGAATCCCCGTGAGCTCTGTTTGAACTACACTGGCACTATTGCTCACAGCCCATTTTATGTTAAGGTTTAAGGATCTGGAGTATATTCCGCATCCTGAGCCTTATTTTGTTTTAGAACCCTCGGTGTAGATATGAATCGTACTTGCCACTTCCGGCTCTTCTATATGTTCTGTTATAACTTTATATGGCTTATAGAAGATATATCTTGGTGAGATGGAGTCCATATTCGCTTGAAGCAGTGGGATCGTATCGAGTGCCTTCTGCCAAAAGCCACGTCTCGCCTCACCAGATCCTACATCAGGTTCTATTCCAACCGTGCGGAGGCGTGTCATTGTCGTCAGAGCAACCTCCATGATGTATGTAAATATCAAGGGGAGTGAGACTAAGAATGACTTTCGTCATGGCTCTGGTCGGTGTTGCTTTCATGGCTCCTGTTATGTTGAGACATGCTGTTCTTTCAATTTGTTCTAGTTTACGGATAGTTGCTAATTTTTGGGTTTTTGGTACCCAGACAACTGCACCTTATGATAGCCGCGTAATAATAGGGGAGCCCAAGCGGGGATTTCGGGATTTACTAAAGCGCGGCAGATTAATATACAGGGGGATACCTTGTACCCAGTTAAGTACCTCCACCAAATATAAGCCCCATATGTAAGGTTGCCCGTGAAGGATAAAGGATCAGATTAGTAAAAAAAAATTGATTATCAGAAATTCTCGAGCGCGTCAGATTAAGGTAGGGTGAGTTAATTACATGCTAAAAAGTGTATATTTCACTAATCTGGCAATTTGACAGTGACGTAAAGAAAGGGTAGGGCAGCAAAGTTGTAAGAAAAAAACGTCATCTCGACATTCTCGAGCGTAGCAAAATTTTTTTTTATATGGAAGGAAATAATTGAAGGATAACGAAAAGTATATAATCTGACGATTTCCGCAAGCCGAAATAACAAATATTCGTCGATAAAGTTTAATGCGTGCAGCTGCGTGATGCCTATATTTCGCTCTCCGCGTTTCTACTATTTCTATCAGAACTTCTGATACTGACATAGTGGTCATCATGTTAGCGAATATGGTACACCTGCAAGCAAGAGTAGAAGTTTGGATGGATCTTGGAGTTAGCAATGCACGCCGATTCATCGACGTATCCGCTCTCTACAAAAAATTAGGCCCACAAATTTCGAAGGCGCTTCCAGCTTTGCATGCGTTCACTGGTTGCGATTTCAACCCAGCATTGTACCGACGAGGGAAAAAAACCTTGCATTTTCTGATGAATTCATAAATTTTCCAATTAGCATTTCTGGATTTGGGATCAAAGGAGCATAATGTGCAGGATTTACTTGCCACTTGTATGGGTTGAAAAAGTTAGACGATGTCAATCAAGCCAGGATTGTCATCTTCAATAAGACGTACAAGGTAAAAGACAAATCACAACCCTTCTCCTTGAGTGTCCAGAATTACGATGCGTGCAATTTGCCACCCTGTAAATCGGAGTTACTCCAACAAGTGTTACGCACAAGATTCAACTAAGTTCAATGATTTAAAAATTATTTTTTTGTCAGATTAGGCGAATCCCTCTATAATCGTAAGATTATGATACAGCACGTCTAGGACATAAAGATGAACTATATATATCTTAATCTGAAAAATAGATAAAAAAATGTCGATGAAAAAAAAATATTAGAAAATTGCCATTATTGCCATTTTTCTGTTGAAATCTCCCTCTTGAAAAATTGATCTCGAAAACAAATGTTCTTTCTAAAAATTTTATGAGAACAATTTAGTTTTACAACCTAGTTTTACAACCAACATAATGAAAATAATGTCATAAAAGTGTCAATGAAAACAGGTTGACAAAAAATAATGATAAATAAAAATTAACGAAAAAATTGTAGATGAAAAAAAAATTAATTAGAATATTTTTCTGTTGAAATCTCCTTCTTGAAAATTTAATTTCATAATTTTTATGAAACCAATTTAGTTTTATGACCCAGTTTTACAACCTAATAGAAAATAATGATGAAAAATGTTTATAAAAAAAATATAAAAGAAAAAATTTTTTTCGAAAATACAATTTTTATAAGAACATACGGCAGTTTTACAACTCAATTTTACAACCCAGCTTCTACAATCCAATTTTTCAACCTAGTTTTACAACCAACCTATAGAAAATAATGTCATAATAATGTCAATCAAAAAATGTTTACGAAAATATTGATGAAAAATAGATGACGAAAAAATATTATAAAAAACGAGGGCGTCCAAATCAAACTCAAACTGACTTAGACTTAATCTTTATCGGTTGTAAACAGGTAGGGTTAGGTTTGGCCCAGAACACTGCGGCCTCTTGGGTCTATGGTATTCCCCTGCTTTCCCCGTATTCAGGTACTATCTTGGGGCGTTCTTTCCGGTTTTAGGCCGAAAAGGATGAAACGTCGCCTAGTAAGAGCTTCGCATTCGAAGATCACATGGTATGAGGTTTCTTCTTCTTCCATGCAGAGTCTACACGTAGTGGGATCATTGTGTAATCCCATCACATGAAGGTGTTTCAGCAAGCAGTGCCCCGTTAGTAATCCCACAATGGTGGATATCTGAGGCCTTGCGAGTTGTAATGCTTCAGTAGCAATGCGTGGGTTTGGTTTCCTTAGAATGGACTTACCGATTCTGTGCCCTCTTATCTGTTGCCAGTGAATTTGGTGTTTTGTGGTTATCCACCTGTTCACTGCCTGTCGAGCAGAGGTTTTGCTTATTCCAAATACAGGTTCGGGTCCTGTGAATGGTAGACCTGATCCCTCTTTGGCGAGTTCATCAGCCTTTTCATTTCCTTGGATACCTTTGTGCCCTGGTACCCACGCTTTTTGTGGGTTGCCAGATCATTTAGTATTCCAAGGCAGTTCCAGACAAGCTTTGACTTGATTCTGTTTGAATCAAGCGCCTTGAAAGCTGCTTGGCTATCTGAGAGAATTAGGATGGTTTGTTTTTTGTACTTCCTTCTTAAATTCTCTCGTACACACAATTCGATTGCATGTATTTCAGCCTGAAATACAGTGGCATGTTTTCCCAGTGAGACGATGATGTCGCATTTTGGTTTAACTCCATGTACGCCAGAGCCTGTTCCCTTGTTAGTTTTAGATCCATCCGTGTACCATACGAGACCGCTAAGCAAGTATTTATCTATTTCCTTATTTACCTCGTTCCAGTTACAGTTGACCTGGAAGAGTATGTTAAAGGTTAGGAGGGGTGTCATGTGATTGATCCCATATTTATTATAGAATCATTTACTTCATGTGTTATTCTGGTATGTTTTATATGTCCCAGTGGGTTCCAGTTGTTGGAGATTTCCAGTCTGTATGCACTCATTCTGGCCTCCCCCTTTATGTCTAGGTCAAGGGGTGGGAAATTTTTGGTTTTAATGTTTTTCCAAATGCCCGTCTCCCTACAATAATACATTTTACATTTATTGGTCACTTTTTGTAAGTGTTGGTTCCTAGTTAATTTGCTATCTAGGATTAGACCCAGATATTTTACTTGCTTCGTTTTGTTTAGCCTTCCTCCAAACAGAGTCGGAGTTTCTAAGACCTCCAACCTTGTTTTCCGATTAAAGGTTGACGAGTTGTGCATTGTCAGGATTTACCAAGAGGTTTTCCCTAACGCACCACATTTCTGTCAGCTTAAGAGCTCTTTGCATGAGTTCAAAGGCTGTGGTTTGGTGTTTCATTTGCATTAACGACATCGACCATCAATGAGTGGACAATGTTAAAAATCTATTAATTTTTGAATCTTTGTCCGGCCATTAATGACATTGACTATCAATAAGTGGGTGAAGTTGATTTTAAAGAATTAAAGAATTTTTATTTTCAAGGCTTTACCAGTAAGCTACTGTAAAATTAATATATTTACATACCATTCTATAATGTGTTGTTTTCTTGGATCCTTTTGTACAAAGAACTTCTTTTGCGTATTTAAGTTTGCTTATTTGTTGTTCATATTCACTTGCACTTAAAAACGCCTCATTATCATTTCGCTTAGGTCTGAGAAGTTTATCTTCTCAATAAATTTATCGCGCATTTTACCCAAATTCATGATTTATTTTATTAATATAAATCTTTGGAAATATCCAATCAATCGCCCGCGCGGAAAGTTAGAAAATAGCGATGTAAACAAAAACATAAGCCTGTATTTTATTCAAATCTAAATCGTTGCAGTATGCGGCCCACACATAAGTGGGCGCTAACGATAACGCCCGGGTAGAGTCGTAAAAAGGCTATGTCATTTATAGTTTATCAACATTGTCCAATTTAAGCGGATATTCACGTTATTGGCCGGTTATCAATAATGCCCAATCAAATAGGAGATTTACGACATCAATGACCGGCCAATATTGTTAAAGATCGAAATATCATCTTTGACCGTAACATGTACATGCAATTCAATAAAACCCTGTATAGATAATCAACAACGTTTCTAAGTTAGTTTAATTTCAATAAAACAACCACCAATCGTCAGAGATTCTTATTTATTACATTTCCAGTTACGGATTTTACTAAAAATCAACAAAGTATAAAAAAAATTAAATAATCAGCCTTAGCAATACGATTCGATCAGTCCATCGCCCTCTCCAGGCTCCTTACCATCATCAGTCACCACAATTTCCGGCACCCTTCCCAACAAAGCCTCGTTCTCGGTCGCGGCCAGCTCGACCAACTTAGTTAGGTTCTTGTGCTCAGCCATCTTGAAATGATCCGTGCAGATGTTCGAAAATACACTCATAAAGAGTTTGTAATCCTTCATCAGCTCGAAACGTTTACAATTCGACAGTATTTCCGGTATTTCTGATTTGGAATACGGCAATTGGACGACAGCGAAATTATCCAAATCAGCCAGTTTCTTTATTTCCTCGTTTAGGAAATCCAAAGAACAACAATCGAAATCCGAAGACGGGGGATTCACGTAGATGAACAACGTGAAGCTCTCGGTGTTGGAGCAAAATTTCTCGAACGCTTCCCTCTGCTTTTCGTTCGGCAGGTTCACTATGTTGACCGTTAGCACACGCGGCGTTACCACATTCAATATGGCCTGGACTAGAGCGAAAACTACGTCATTGTGCTGGTAGAAAGACTTTTTGGTTAGCACGACACATTTTTGTACCCCCTTGAGGTTAGCTAAAACATAAAAAGGAAAGTCGATGTAGGTAGTCGTATTAAAAAATAAGTTAACTATAAAGGGACACCGCAAATGGAAGAAAATATTCGGTTTTCGCTTGAGGATACACAATTCAAAAAAGGAGTCACTACCGGGTGTATTTCATTACGTTGCTTTTTGACAGTAGTACAACACAAATATATTATTGATATTATCTAACTCTGTATCAGAAAATACATTACTCCAATTCATTATCTTTCTGTACTTCGCTGAGATGAACCGATAGACGAGCTAGACTACATCGACGAAGAGTAGGAAGCCCCTACCAGATAGTGACCGATTTAGATGCCCCATTTCTGCATACAAGTTTTGAAGAGGAATGAAAAGTACATTGATGTTGAGTGGAATGAAAGGAAATTTATGAGTGGCTATTGGGGATAACACTTAGAAAATTCGATTTTCCTTAACAGAAATATTTTCCGACCTCAAAATGTGTGCTTATTATTTTTTTTTAATATAATGTTTATTAGTTTAATTTTTTTCTAATTTTGACTATATTTTTATAAAATTGTGTTTGGTAAAAAATCGATAACCATTAATGTTTTGTACTTACAATCAAAGATATTAAAAAATATTTGGGAATAAACATACATTAACTTTACAAATATTTAAAATATTTTAAAAATATTTATCATCACAGATTTCATTTTCTTGTTAAAACGTTAGTTTTTTAAGAAAATTTTGCATGAATACGAGGTATCGATTTAAAAAAAAAACAATTATTGTGTAGTGTAGAGTATCGATGGTACAAAAGGTATCGATTGTAGAAAAAGAATCGATGGTACTCGTAAAAAAGAATCCATCGTAATCGATTCGAAAAGATTGTAAAAATAAACAATGATTTTATTAAGTATTACGAGTAATACTAAAAGAGAGACGACTGAAAAATTAATCGATTGTAAAAAGAATAGATAGTAAAAAAAGAATGGACAATGAAGAAAATTTGATTGTAAAAAATAATCGATTGTAAAAAGAATCTATTGTAAAAATAATCAATCGTAAAAAGAATATATTGTAAAAAGAATCTATTATAAAAAGAAACAATTTTAGAAAGTATTAGTAATAAAAAAACGTATCGATCTCAAGGTAATCCTTTTCGAAGAGTATTGATGGTAAAAAAGGTATATATTGTGAGAAAAGTTTAGATTGTAAAAAATACATTGTAATCGACTTTTATTAAGCATTACGAGTAATACTAAAAGAGAGTCGACTGAAAAATGAATCGATTGTAAGAAGAATAGATAGTAAAAAAAGAATGGATAATGAAGAAAATTTGATTGTAAAAAATAATCGATTGTAAAAATAATCGATCGTAAAAAGAATCTATTATAAAAAGAAACAATTTTAGAAAGTATTAGTAATAAAAAAAGTATCTATCTCAAGTTAATCCTTTTCGAAGAGTATTGATGGTAAAAAAGGTATCTATTGTGAGAAAAGATTAGATTGTAAAAAAATACATTGTAATCGACTATAAAAAGTGCCGGTTGTAAAACAACAATTTTAAAAAGAATTAATTGTATAAAGAATATATGGTAAAACGATTAAAAGTAATTAATAGTAAAAAGTGTTAATCTTTAAAAAAAAATTCATTGTGAATTGTAGAGTATCGATGGTAAAGAGGTATCAATTATTGTAAACAAGAATCCTTTGCAATCGATTGTAAAAATATACAAAAAGAATCGTCATTAAAAAAGAATCTATTGTAAAAATGAACTGATAGTAAAAAGAATCGATAGTAAAATAATATTCTTAAAAAGAATCGATTCTAAAAAGGAACAATTGTAAAAAGAATATATTATAAAAACAATTTTAAAAAGTATTAATAGTAAAAATAATACTTTGTGAAGAGTACCGATAGTAAAATAAATAATCGATTTAAAAAAGAATCGATTAAAAAAAGAATTAATTTAAAGAAAAAGAATTGATTCAAAAAAATACGTGTGGCACTCGGGGACTGTCGCGGTAAAGCTATTGCATAGCATTTTTTATCAACTAATGCAATTATAATTATTTATTTTATTTATGCAGTATTTTTTTCTTTGATATTAATTCAAGTTTTTTCTTTGATATTAATTCAAGTTACACTTTTTGAGCGTGGTGACCGATAAGAAAACATTTTTTTTTCTTTTATTGAATAAATGAGACGTTAATATTGTTTAAAATAATTTTATTATCTTACAATACATGAACTTGTACATTTCTATTTTTCGATTTTACGATTTGTCGATATTTCGATTTTTCGATTGTTCGATTTTTGTTAGTGAGTCGTAGAAAAAATATACTGTACAACTCCAGTGGGCTCGAACTCACTCGTGGACGCGGCCAAAAGCACGCTATCTCACCTAGCATTGGGTCTAAAAGAGATAGAATCAGTTATGAGCAGTTAGCAGCTAGTCTACACGTATACGATTTTTTAATTTTTTCGATTTTTTGAGACTTGATATCCTCTAAATATCTGGAAAATACCGCGTCAATGGTGGTCCCATATTTTGTTGTGGATTCTTGTGGATCATTATTCATTTTCAAATTCAATTTTTCCGAAATTGTGTCTAAAAGAGATAGAATCAGTTAAGAGCAGTTAGCAGCTAGTCTACACGCATACGTCTAGTCGCACGCACACAAACACCGTGCCGAAGTCTGCCGAACTGAAACGACGTTAGACAATGCAGACAATGGTTTATTTTCGCGGAATTTCTTGATTCGATCGCCGCGCTCAAAGCCCGCGATAAAAGCTATGCAATAGCTTAAAAATTAATATCTAAAGGTACGTTTACATCTGACATTTATTGTATGATATTTATGTCTGACAGTTGTTTAGTCCAGTGTAAACTCTCAAAAATATATGCCCGAGAGAAAATTTTGTGTTTACACTGCACTAAACAACTGTCAGACATAAATCTCATGCAATAAATGTCAGATGTAAGTAAATGTACCTTAATATTTACGCCAGCCAGGAACATTTGTGATACCAATTTATTAGAAGCCAGAGAAAGTTCTTCTAGTTCTTGTATTGCATAAATGTTCCAGTCCGCAGACGTATATTTAACTCCGCTTCATAGTAATACGAATAGGGTCGGATAAAACCTTCCATGGCTATAACGCCGTACCGCTGTGCCGGTCGGAGTGGGGGTGTTAGATTTTTTTCGTTACGGTGTTACGAAATTTCTTGATTCGGTCGCCACTCAAAGCCCGCGATAAAAGCTATGCAATAGCTTAAAAATCGGCTGTAATCGATTGTAAAAAAATCATTTTGAAAAGTACACAGGTCCACAAAAAAAAAAGTGGTCTGTGCTGGGTGTTCGACAAAGATTTTCCGAAGTATTTTTTACCGCTGAACACGAATCTGAAGTCAAAATTGGGGGTCAAACTGCAAAAAACGGAGAAAAATTAAAAAAACCGATAAGATCCATTCATAAGAGCATTCAGCTGCTCTGTCGTGATCTTAATGGCAGGAATGGTGTCGAAACGTTTCGCTTCAAGCACGGTTTTAATTTTTTGGGACGAGCTGGAATTCGCATGATGCTAAATCTGGTGAGTAAGGCAGATGTAGAACACTCGCGGATCAGAAGCGAAGTGCAGAACGGCGCGTTGACAAGATTAGAGGAGGACAAAATAATCGATGAATCGATTAATTTTTGTAAAAATCGATTAATCGATTATTTTCGATTAATAAATTATTTAAATTATTCGATATTTTCCATTAATCGATTATTTTCCATTAATCGATTATTTCAAATATCCGGTTATTTTCCATTAATCGATTATTTTGATTAATCAATTATTTTAAAAATATAAGATTAAAAACAAATCAAATAATATCGATATATCGATTAATCTAATAATCGATAATCCGATTATTCGGAAATATTCGATTTAACGATTAATCAAAAATAATCCATTTTCTTGATTATTTGAAAATAACTAATTAACGGAAAATAATAAATATCTCGATTAATCGATCGAAAATAATCGAATAATTAAAAATACTCGATTAATCGAAAATGATCGATTATTTTTAAAGCCCGGCAAAATCTTATTTCTCTATCAATAATGATCGATAAAAATGTATTTTAATTAAAAAAAAAAACTTTGAATGCAATAAGACGATATTGTTAGTAATGATATAATAATAATACTCGCTCACCCCCTTACGAGTGAATTTTAACTCCAAAAGCTGAGCTTGTGCGGGGAAAGGCACGGATATTATTATTTGACGTGGCGCTCCGGGGCGACTTAAAGATGATTGATGGCGCCATTTAACTTACAGGTGAGCAAAACCCGGAAAACCTCATCCACCATCATCGAGACGGTAATGCATGGCGATTTTTATAATCTGCATGTCGTATCAACAGAAATAGAGTTTCTATTAATATGGCACACATCAAATCCTATACCGAACAATGCAATTTAATTAAAAATCCACATGGTCTGGTTTGGGATTCGAAGCCCGTCTGTCTCTGACCATAAACTTACCTATAAATGAATTATAAGAGCATGAGACTGCTACACCACCGACCCGATGGGAAAAATGGGAATGAATTTTATAATTTCGCAGGGATATATTGGGAATGCATTGTTTTAAAAATAATGGTTGATTACCTCGACTTCTGTTTCGAAATTCCCACCAAAAAAATGAGAATAAGAAAAAATATGATAGGTAACAAGCTCCAATTATTCCAATTACGAGGGGTTTACTTTTTCGAGCTGAAAAAAAAACATAGGAATTAATTAAGTTTAAAAGCTCCTTAACTATTTTAGTTTAGTAAATAGGTGTCGATACGATCGATGGCGAGAAAAATAAATTCAAAATGGTGCGAAAATAATTATTAAGAATTTTGAAAAATTTTGAGAAACAAATTCAAAATTATGAGGAATTAATAATTATTTTGAGAAAAATCAAAAAATTAAGAAATTGAAAAATCAACTCGGAATCAAAACAAAGTTAAAATTTTGAGAAAAATAAAAAAAATAGAAAAAATTAATATTTTGAGAAAATGAAGTCAACGTGTGTAAAAAAAAGTCTAAATTAAAGTTATCTTCTCAAAATTTTGATTTTATTTTCTCAAAAGTTTTTAAATGTTTTTTATATTACTAATCAGTTTTGTTTTAACCCTTGCGAATTCAACAAGCCCCTTAAACTAATTTAGTTTCTCAAAAATAGGTGCCGATACGATGACGAGAAAAATAAAGTAAAAATTGTAAAAAAATCATTATTTATACCCAATATTTTGAGAAAAAAAATTCAATTTGAGACGATATTTAAAAGTCAAAATTAAGAGAAATAAAATCAATAATTGAAGAAAATAATTAAAATCGCTATATTGAGAAAAAAAATCAAAAATTTTGAGAAAACGTAAAAATTAACTCAAAATTTTGGGGAAAAAAATCAAAAAATTTGAAAATATGTAAAAAGATTAAATTTTGAAAAAAGACAACATGTGTCTAAACGTTGACTAATTTTGAATTTAGACTACATAACAATATAATAATAATACTCTCCCTAATTCACCCCCATACAAGTGAATTTCAACCCCTGAAGTCGACTGAGCGAATTGTGTAGGGGAAGGGACGGAAGTTATTATTTGCCGTGGCGTTTCGGGGCGACTTAAAGATAATTGAAAACCTCACCCACCATCATTGAAACGGTAACGCATGGCGATTTTATAATCTGCATGTCATATCAACAGAAATTGAATTTCTATTAATACAGCCAGCACACATCAAATCCTATAACGAACCATGCAATTTAACTAAAAATCCATATGGGCTGGTGTAGGATTCGAAACCGTTCTGTCTCCTACCACAAACTTGCCTATAAATATAAGCGCGTAAAACCGCTACTCCACCGACCCGATATAGGTATCTTCTCAAAATTATGCTTTTATTTTCTCAAAATTCAAACTTTTTTAAAATGTTTTTTACATGGCACTAATCAGTTTTATTTTAACTCTTGTGAATTCAACAATATCCCGTAAAACTGTCCAAATAGGAACACAACACCCTGTACTTCTAAGCACGTTCTATTTTGCTCAGAGGAAAGCAAAAAATTGGTTATGTTTTATTTCCGATCCTGGAGATCATTTTTCTTTTATAATACGAGTGTGAAAAATAAGTTTGCACAATATTTTCCTACGACAAGAAAATTATTTCATAAAAAAAATGTAAATAAGAACTTTTACTTTTTACTTACAATTTTTTTCTAAACCGTTATCAAAATAGAACAAAATAAATAATGGAAATAATAACGAACTGTATGGGTTACATTATAATAAAATCAATTTTAAATAAATAAAACAGCAATAGTTGTATTTTTTAATTTTTCATATTTTTCCAAAATAGAAGAATTAAAAAAGACTGCTTTATCGGGAATTGATCCCGAGTCGCAAAATCCAAAGTTGAACGCTTAACGATCTGAGCCATGAAGGCTGTTAAGTAAATTATCTAATCAAATATGTGTATTGACAAAAAAAAAACAAAAATAATGTAGTTACTTTTAAATTTAAATCGTTAAAAATAAATTAGTATAAAAATGAATGTATACTATAGGCTTGTTTTAGTTCTTCAAAAACATGTTGAGAACTGTCAAAGGACTAGTTGGAGTGTTTAAAAGTTGTACGCGACGAATAATTTGCTACTCAACTGTTCCACTAGATCTCGGACTGTTTTCATCAAATTTTAAAGAAACCAAAACAAACCCAATTTATCCATCAAATTGATTTTACTATTAATATAGACATTACCAGAGATAAGGGAGATAAAGATAGGAAACGCCCATAAAAAGCCAATGCTTAAAAACGACCAGCTTTATCGCAGTTAACATCTGACCCACTATGTGGCGCTTTAATCGATATCAAACAACGCAGCGGGAAATTTAAAAACCTGATAATGAAGGTTGTATAAATATCGACTGCACTCTCATGTTCTTGTAAATAAACTTAAACAATGTAATTGCCCTAAATTATTTATTAAAAAGAATACTACACTTACAGTCTATTATCGATTAATTATAGTAAATCTATATTCATGACAAATATTTTTTAATTTTTGATTTTATTTTCCAAACCAATGGCCTTATTTAAAAATGTTGAGTGCAAATTCAATAATGGGAATTCAGATATTTTTCTTCCTATATCAAATCTTCGTTCTGACGTTTTGAAGCCATTTTCTTGTTCTAAAATATAAATAATACATAAATACCTACTTTGTGATAAAAGTTGATTACTATTTGTGTTATTTACATGAATAGATCTTACCTACTTTGGTTAATTAAAGAACGCCACATTGGGGTTGTTAAATTTGTTCATGTGGCATGTGTTATTAATGCAATACGTTCTCCAACTTATTATAATATTACAAAATATAATTATTGTCCTCAAATTTCATACAAAAACAGCCACAACTATTTCGCTTAGTTCATCTAGAGGATAACACAATCATGAACTCAAAATTTAAAATTTAAATTTAGGATTCTTCGATATACATAACACTGACTGACATTTATATTTACAAACTGTCAATTGCTGTCCATGTCTACTGCCTGTCTCAGTGTTGCCAACTGTACGATTTAAATCTTATTTATACGATTTTTTAACTCTGTACGATGTACGATTGCATCAGTGAGATCGTACGTAAAAATACGATCTTCACTTTTTTAGTAGGTTTATTTCAAAGACATTACAACTTATTTAAATATCTGCAACAACTTCAGAACATAAAAATCAAAAACTACTTGCAAAGATTCATAGGCCATTCGTAATTTCTGAAGGCGGTCATTTTCGTTCTGACTTATCGTGATTTTGACCATGTTGATTTTGTACACCGACTCACGGCATAAGAAAAGCTTGCATGCAAAATTTCAATCACGTTCAAGTGACCAATCATTGATTACTTTAAATGTGTTAATTTGAAGTTTCATGTATTTCCTTTAGTTTTTTTTTTTTTTTTTTCGTTGTATACATTTTTATAAATAGATACATAAATTATCATGCCAAAGTTTTTTTTTTATTTTTTCATTCCATTTAAGTTATATTATGCTATGCATGTATCTATTGTACAATTTTTTGTCGAAATATCATTTTTTCTACTCTACTTGTACGATCTCTCAAAAAAATTATTTGGCAACACTGGTCTCTCTACAAACGACGTAGACCTGTAGTTAACATCTGAGACGCTAGATGACGCCATTGTTGCTGCGGTCGTTGCGTTTTCAATCTTGATCTCCCTTATCTCTGGACATTACATAAATCAAAATAGAAATGGTGCCTCTGACATATTTGACAGATGATACAGAAAGTAGATTATTATCCACACTTTTCATGAAACTAAATAGTGCGATATGGGTCACTTTCCTAGGTGGTCGTAGGAAAAACGGTTAAAAGCTGATTAAATAGTTGAAAATACTCACTGATAAGCACTTTCGGAGTAAAAGTCTTGAGGCACGCATCCTCCGGGCAATATTGACCAATTTCCGATATGGCGAAGTAATAATAACCTTCTTCGTTTTGAGTATCGTAAGTAAAACTCAACATCTCGTCGTAAAGGAAGGTAGAAAAGATGGGAAATTCCGGTAAAACGACGCCGCGTAATTTTTTTTTAAACACTTCGACTTTGTAGAGATACACTTTGAATATCTCGTTTAACGGTTGGATTTTTAAAACAATTTTGGCGGGATTCGTGAAGTCTATGTACGAAAATATGGGTCTCGGTGTAGAAAAAGAAACGTTCCCTGAAAAAAAAAAAAAAAAATTAAAGGACGCCGCAGTTTCCTTATGGTAAATAGATTTCGGTCGAATATGCTGGATTTTATAATGGGTGGGTCAACAGTAATGCCTCGGTACAAGAATTTAAAAATAATTTTAATCATAATAAAGCAAGCCATACTACATTAATTTATCTTCTAATTTTTGAACTTTTGTAGCTCGGTAAACATGGAAAATTGAATATTTGTTCATGAGATATTGTTTGCTTGAAATAAACAGCAAACAATAACAATGCTTTGGAAAAGTAGTCGAACACTATCCAAATCACAATAAACAACGCCTACCAGAAATCCTGCCCACGCAGGCTGGTCCAACACGATCAGGCGAATACCGCATGGTGGTGACACGAGTTGGATCACCTCAGGAAGATGGCTAGGAAATACTTTAATGGGGCAAGAACCACAAAACTCAAAGAGGACCGGGACACTTACAAATTTCACGTTAGAGAATACAAAAAGTCGTCAAGACAAAAACAAAGAGATAATGGAGGCAGTAAGGCTTCAAAAAGCTCTCTCAAGAGACCCACTGCGCAGTATTGGTGCGCTAATCAAAGAGGATGGCATGAAAACTGCAAACCTCGAAGACAACAGACAACAGACGTGGCCGACTGGGCAGAAGAAGAATACAACCCATCTGTCTACGATTGGCAGACTGCCAAACACATTGTAGACAAAGACAAAATTAGATGGGCAATATCTAGCTTCTTTCTATTTAAATCGCCAGGACCTGACGGTATCTATTCATCCCTACTTCTGGAAGAAATCACACCGCACCTAGGTAGGTATATTGAGACCCTCGTTAGCTCTGAGGCATATCCCCAAAAATGAGAGATAAAAGTGGTTTTTATATCCAGGGGCCATGAAAACCACACCAAACAAAGCCATGAAAGTCATTCTTAGTCTCACTCCCCTTGATATTTACATCATGGAGGTTGCTCTTATGACAATGGCATGACTTCGCACGGTTGGAATAGAACTTGATGTAGAATCTGGTGAGGCGAGACGTCGCTTTTGGCAGGAGACGCTTAATACTCTACCATTGCTTCAAGCGAACATGAACTACGTCTCACATGCATAAATTTCACGTCAATCTTACTTCTCTGTAAACATATTTTTGCACTTTGTTAAAGAAAACATTATTTGACAAAAATGTATGCCACAAAAATGGACAAAATAATTCTACCTGAAAAATCAACGAGTGTTTGCTGGTAGTTGCAAATAACACCGGAATCAGTGTCAATAATAGCAATGTACAATATGTTAGCCAAAAATCTCTTTTTCTGACAAATTCCTTGGCAAATTTAGCAAGGCTTTTCAGCATGAGTCTCTTCAATTGCAAAATGAAAGTTATGCAAGACATTGAAATGTATTGGAGGCAAAGTACTGAGGTTGTGGTGCATTCTATAGCTGATGAATCCTAAAGTGACAAAAATTCGAAAGATGAACTAGTTCCTACGTTAGTAGCAGTACCTGATGTTGAAACTGAGATTGTTGATCAAATGTACGATACCTTATCTTTAAGCATACTTAATATAGTAAACATATCTGGTGTTGAAGACAGTCCAATGAGTGTCGTGATCACGGCCGCAGAGAACTAGGTCGGGCCCCGGGACAATTTTCCAGGTCGGGCCCCGCGACAATGTTATTAAAAAATTAAGGCCTTTCAATATCACATTTCTAAAAAAAAAGTCTTCAAGCAAAAACTTCTCCTCTTTAGTGAAATCTCAAAAAAAAGGTCCTCTCTTTTGTGCTCTTCTAAAAAACAAACAAAAAAAACGTCAACTAAAGCTGCGAAAAATGAACCAGTTCGTACGTTAGTAGCAGTATCTGATGACGAAATTGAGATTGTTGATCAAATGCATACCTTATCTTTGAATATATCTAACATAGTGAATATATCTAGTTTCGAAGATAGTCCAACGATTGGTAATAATCATAAACAAAGTCTCAAATCTACTTTGTTGCAGATGAATCGTTTAAAAATAAAGAAGTCAGTGAACTCGTAACAGGTTCAATTAAAGACAGAAAAAGTATTTCTTAAGAATAAAGTTATTGTTTATACTTAGTAGTTGGCTTGTCTCACCCCTAACATATAAGAAACTAAGAATTATAGTGCACGATGTTAATTTTGTATGCAATTAAAGATGCACGCTAAAAGAGTACGTCAAGGACAGGGATGACATTTTAGCGTGTGCCTACGTTTTTTATTGCGTTCACGTTAGCGTGCATCTAGACACAGCGTTTATTATAACGATTTGTTGATGCTTTAATAATAATTAAATGGAATTATAAAATATAAATGTTAACACTCTTTGGGGAGGTACACGCTTACACAAAATAAAGATGCGCTGTGTAACTAATTTACTCATGTTATGAAGGACCGTTGAGAACAAGAAAAATGCCAGTATTATTAAGAATACTATATTTAATAGTTTTTTCAATACGAATCGAAAATCGAATTCAACTTTCAACTGCAACAGTAAATTTAAATCGCTAATATCTATTATTAGACAACAATTTTCGTTTTCGTTTATAGGCATTTGTTTATACAGATGTTTTTTAAATGAGAATATCGATATTATTTGTTAATATATATTTATTTTATTTATGTAAAAACGATTTAACTTTAAGTCAGGGTCGGGGCTCGAAGGAAAGAAGTAGGCCAAAATTATTTCCTCCATACATCTTTTGGATCCCATTTTGATTCAGATTTCGCTTACCTTAAAATCCCAATGCCCTACCTTCAAAATATACGATAGGATAAATAATTTCCAGTCTGACCTATCATAGTGGGCTTTTGATAATTTATATATTGTTTTATTCAATATCGTGTCATTAATTTTTCTGTGAAATATTATTTGTGACCAGTGGTTTGTTTGTATTTGACAGCCCGCTATACGTTTCATATTAGCATCTAGTAAGTCAATGCTTATGAAGAAAGAAAAAGTATGATTTTATTATGCTCGTCACATGGTGGTTCCAAGCGGACAGTAGCGCAAATTAAAAAAAGTCGTAAGCAGAAGATAGTTTTCTAGATGCCGGTAAAAGAAGTTGGGATTGTTTGTTCAACCGTACAACGTTGTCATTTTGCGAATTTTTTGGATCGTACATCGTCTCTATTTCGCTCTATTTTAACAAAACTGGCAACTATCGAAAAATAGTTTACCAGCTTTATAATTGCGATTTATTGGAAGTCGTTTAGATGGTCTTTAAGTTGGTAGTCTACCATATTACGCACATTTCATGTTTGGCGGAAATTCAAGCCATCGGTAGGTATTTAACATTTTTGTCTTTATGTAGGTAGGTAAATCGATAATTTTGTCATTCATCTTCGTATAAATATGATGGAAATAATAAAAATCGTATGAATGTTTGTTATCCAGGACCGCAATTTACGAAATTATTATACTTATATTTTTTAATAGAATGTAGGTAGGTAGTTTGGATAAAAAAAATTTGTAATGTAAAATAATCTTAAAATAATTAATAAAAGACAACATTTTTAAATAACCTAAGTTCCAGCCTCTTACAATAATTATTAGGTTTCTTGGGGGAAATAACTACACGTGCAGAAGTTATTTATTATTAAATAATAAATGTATTATTATTAAACATTTTGTTAGATATAATAAGTAAGTACATTAAAAATATAAGGAAAATAAGGAATTAATTTATTTATGTATTTTGCACTATAGACAACTTTACATTTTTTTACTAGCTTGAAGTTTCCTCGTTTTCTTTGCCGCTTCTAATTTGGACAGGTTCTACAATATTTGAAAATTTGAGTTGTAATTAATAAATCTAACATATACTGTCTGTGTTCCACACAGTTACTATTACAATTACACCATTCTGCTAAAAATGTTTTTATTTTTCAATTATAATTTTTCGCAAATTATAAAAAACTTTTTTGGTACAATATTCTTCTTTGTTTTGCGTGACAGCTTGTAGCGATATTCTAGCACATTGGCCCAATAGTGATAATCGACATTTTAGCCCGGATTGCTCGTTTAGATTGAAAGTTTTATAAAAAAATTAGTAACTGGTGTTCATCTTTCAAAACATTTTCTTTTTCTTGACACTCCTCGCATTTAAATTTTAAAGTATCCGGCAAAGTACATAGTGAAACAATCTTCTAATGTTACAGGAAGTATATTCTCTAATGAAATACCGATTTCAGAAACCTTATTGTATTCTTCAGTATCTGTATCTTCATCATTATGAGGCTCTATTAAAAACGTTTAAAGCAATACCATACCCCAGGAGATTTTGGTCTTCGTCCTGATTCGTTTCCGAATTTGCTTTAAGTGGAGGCCTCATGAAATTATGAACGATATTTAGCTTAAAAGCTGCTTTGAAACCCCTAACAGTAGGATTTAGATTAAAACTCCCTGTCTGTCTATAGACAGAAAATACCTCGTCCCAGTCTGTTTATAAGATCGTTGAAGTGAAAAAGAGAAAACTTGTAATATATATCCATGATACTATAAAAAGAACATTATATTAAGCCGATTGATACTACACTACGGCGACATATTGTGGTGATCGAAAACAGCGCGTGAAAATAAATTTTAGTCAGCTCATGGCCAATCGTCCATATTCCACATCACAATACGTCATGCGCGAACTCGTGTCAAAGTTGACAACAACAAAATATGATTACTTCATTCAACGGCAGCAACATAAAATCCGGATCAATCAAAGCCGGAGAGTAACAAAACACAACGGTTCTGTTTACTCAGTTTTTTAAATATTAAAATTATATAATATCTTTTTGAGTTTCAACCAGTACAGACTGAAATAATTTTGAATTTCATTCTCTTGAACTTATAGCATAAGTTACGAATAAAAACAGTCGCAAGTATTGTAAAAATTGCAAAATATTGTGATGTTTGTTTATTTTCAAACAACAGTTTATTTATTAATAATTTATTTAAACACTTATTTATTTTATAACACAACTATTTTAATTTATATATACTTCGAATGTCTTTAAACTGATCACTATTTATATTCACCACTGTCTATCTACTAATTACTATTTATCTTCACTGTCCATATACTAACTGATTACTATTTATCTTCACTGTTCATATAATACTGACTCTGATAGCTCATCCACCAATATTTATATACAAATTTCTAAAATTTGGTGGAGTCGAGAAGCTTCTCCACCAAACTAGAAATATTTCGAACAGTCCAGAAATATTATCTCGTCCTTTCTCGAACATCATCGAAATCACCTCCGCCATAGTCGTCTCATAGGTTTGGTCTTAAGGGGTTTAATTATGTGTAATAATCAGACAAGTTGAGCCTTAAAGGCCAAATAAGACAGAGATGAACTTGTAGGGTTAGAGCATGACTGAATAATGAAATGGCTCACATAACAATATTATTATACGTTAAATAATGTAATTTAATATATTTTATATATTTGTATAGAATAAAAAATTAAGTCATCTTCTTTCTTTATTTATTTCAAGTTAAAAAAAAACATCTTTCTGCAAAAAATTATCACATTACAACAGCAGACAGCAACAAAATCAAGAAAAATTTGTAAGGAATACTAAGTATTTTCTCCACGTTTCTTTCACAGATAAGTCAGAAAACATGTAAATTAATATATTGTGAAACATTTGTTAAATACATTATTTAAAAGACTGATTTATAGATTTTATTATTTTAGTAGCTTAGTTGATATTCTTGGGACAATGAATTATTTTAGAAAATATATACCCATTATATAAATATAATGCTTTAACCTAACTTTTTCTAATCAAACACTTTTTTAAATATACTGAAATATTGAAAATTCTATATTAAAAAAATTATCTTATGTAATAAATATTCCCACTTTGCACCATAGAGCAATACTAAATATCAGATCTATCCTATATGTACCCCTTATTCCGTATCTGTCCAATTTTCAATACTAGGTAGACGAGGAAGACAATATCGCCTATCCCTCGGTACGAACACGGAACGTCTTGAGAAAGGATGTTGTAGTCATATTTTTCAATCATTTTTAACCCGGATTTACTTTGCTGATTTTATGATTATGACTTTATATTACGTCCAATTTTAAAAATTATTTTTTGATCTTGTTAAGGAAATAATTTACTACAACTTAATAGTACCTAATTGTTTAAAGAATAACGCATGTTTGATAATGTTAATTCTCTATTAAAAGTTGCCCATTTTTAAAAAATTTAATAAACTTTATAATTTTTTTTTTTTTTTGACGATACGGGCCATTTTATCAAAAAAGTATGCTAACCCGGGGCTAGTGCCACTTATTATCTTTGCACATAAAAAATTAGGGTCTTTTTTTTTGGTGTGTCATCGGCTTCAACTGCCTCGTGTTCTGTGTAGGCTTTGTTACTGTTTCCCAGCGCCACTTTAGGGACAGCACTGTTAATTAGAACCCAACAGCGAATGGTCGAGTGGGGAATTAGGATTAAACCAAAATGCCTATTTATACAAATTTCTTGCTATTGTCAGCGGTCAGCGGAGCAATAATTCTTAACAATATTACGAAAATCATTTTCTTTACTTTGACATATTTTTAAATCCAATGAAAACAATACAGAGTGAAATAAAAATGGCAACTTTCATTAAGTTTATTCTGCCATCCTATTTTAAACTAGCAAAAGCTCCAACCGTCTCTAGCTTAAAGAGACTCAATTAGACTGGCCACCTGGTGGTGGTCTCCTTTTGGTATCAAACAAATAAATACATTGGACTGACCTACTGACCTACTAGGACTACTTATACAATGATATTAGTGTTTGTTGCTATTTAAGATATTTTTGCTATGTATACATTAGTAAAAAGAGGGTAGCATGCAGAGATATTTTATGAAATGGTTGAAGAACCAGAAGTTTGGGCGAAATGAAAAGCGATAGAACATCCTTAAGCTTAACATTCCGAATAATATCTGCGTTAACCAGGGGTGGGTAAGAATGACTGTTGAACCTATAAACCGGAATATGTTTAACGAATAAGGATAAAATTTTATTGCAAAAAATATTTATCACACCATCAATTTCATCATCCAACAAGAATAAATAAACAAACATTTAATGAAACTTAAATTAAGTACAATAATAATTAAGAAAATACTTCATTGAATCGAACATCCTTAAACTTGTTGCCAATGTAACATTTGACATCCATCGAATTTACTTTTCCACACAATCGACACCAATCTTCGTATTTACAAACGAATTCGTTGCTCCAACGATTATTCTCCATTTTCAACTCTTCAACACCTTCAAGAACGAACAGTAAATTCAAACTCAACTGTTTCAAATCGTTATTTTCCAAATTCAAAACCTTCGCGTATTTCAAATCGTCAAACGCGTAATCGCTGATCAAATTTATATTGTTATCGTTTAATTTCAATTCATCGATAAAACGTATGCCTCTGAGTAAATAATAACTGATAAAAGTAAAGTTATTGAAGCTCAAATCGAGCGAAGTTGGTTCGTGTTTAACTGCATTAGCGAAAGCTTGTTCGAAATATGAATAAGGACGGTATGGTATCGCAGGGTAATGTCTCAATTTATTGTAACTCAAATTCAACACTTTTAAATTGCCCGTACGTTTGAAAGCATCTTTCGGTATGTCTTGGATGTTGTTAGAGGATAAATCTAAGTAACGCAGATTCGGAAGGTTGTTAAAGGCTTTCGAACTTATACTTTTTATTCCGTTAGCTTTCAAAGCTATATTAGTTAATTTGGGGTTGTTGAAAGTTTTATCGGAAATTCTATCGATGTGGTTGAAGTTTAAATTGATCAATCTCAGCCTGGGTAGGTTTCTAAATGCGTTGTCTTCCACCAATCTTAAGTTAGTTCTTCTAATAAATACGCCATATAAATTGGACAGTCCATGGAAAAAATTCGTCGTCAATATTGGTAACTCTTCATCTTCTATAACAATTTCAGTCAAATTCATATGATTATAAATATCGACAGCGGATAATAGGGTCGCTGACGTATTTCCTTGATACACTTTAACTGCAATTTTGTTCAATACCTGTGCTCGAGTTACGCACAAAAAGAATAAAATGTATACTAAATGTGTAGATATCATTTTTGCACTACAATACCTACGAAGTTCGGACGATACATTTTATTAAAACGTTTATCAATTAATTACCAGACCAGGGTTCAATTAGTTCGATATTATTAAACATTGAAATAGATAATAAAAATTTACTGGGTGATCTTCATTGACGTCGAATCTGAAATTAAGATAGCAGCGCTAACTGTACTTGACATTGGAACTACTCAAAAAACACTCCCGGAAATTGCGTGTAGATGTGTAACATACAAAGTGAACTCATTAACTTCCAGTGAAGGAAACAACCTAAAAATGAACTTTAAGAAAAAAAAAACTTTACTAATGTAAATTTTGTTTACTCGGTCACATAAGTTTCGGTTGTTACGATGTCAGCATTCGTGCCTTCGACGTCGCCCAGATGGTAGCTAGGAGATGGATAGCTTTACAAAAATTGTTGGAAATATACTACGGTTTTAGAATAGTAGACAGTGGGACAATTCACTGAACTCCCCACTAGTGGAGTTTTTGGAGAAAATACAACGAAAACTACACATATGCATTATAGGTTGCCTAAATCAATTATCAGGACTGGATGGCCTCCTCTGCCCACCTGTTTTTTTACGATATTCTGTTATCTTAAACTTGCTTACTCTAAAATTAATTTAAATTAAGCTGTCGCGGATATATTCTGTGATTTGACTAAGGTGTTTTATTGTATCAATCATACAGTATTGGTACAAATATTTCTAGTTCACGGAATCGAAGACAAAGTGCTGATACAATATTATCTTTCATAATGCAAGCAAATGGTAAGAGTTATTATGTTCTGTGTTTAGCCCCATTTTATTCCTTCTTTATATAAATGACTTAACATCGTAAGTACTTTCATTCTAATTGGTGATGACACTACGATTTTATGGCACAGAAATGACACCTATAGAAAGTCATTTCTGGGCATTAATTCAGACAATAATTATAAGAAATGTAAGAACCATATGAAATGTCTAAACAAAAAACTTTCTTCTTGATGTTTTGCAGTCAGAACTGTGGCTAAAGAAATAGTTTTTAAACCAGCTAAAATTATGTATTCTAGCTTAGATATAAGGAATTGCATTTTAGGGAGGTTGTAACAGTGAGTTAAAATACAGTTTGTATATAGAGTAAACAATCTCAGCACATTTTGTCAACATTCTCGAGTAAGAGAATTACTGTCGACGACATTGAATTGATAAAAAATTTGATATATAGATCAATGCCATATTTGTTTATTATGATGATGATTTTCAAGGATTAAAAAGACTGCTTCTGACATTATCATTCATTTCGGAAAAAGTGGTGGCCTACATATCTAGTTTTGTTGCCAAAACTTTAAAAAAACAACCCGGTATATGGAAGGTATGTCTTCCCAAATACACGAAATTAAATTAAATGTTCTGATCAAAATAATAAAACGAAAAAAACGGTAATTAATTAAAACGGAGTAATTAATTTTTAATCAAACGGTTGACCAAATGAAAATAAAAGAAAACGGGTAGTTACGACACTCCCTGTATACGGAAAATGAAGCTTACTATTTCCACAGTTAACCCACCTACAATGTAAGTTCAGAAAAGGAAAACCTACTATAAAATGGAACAAAGTTTTCGGAACTCCTTGTATCTTGGTCTCGAGCGATCGGCAGTGGCAATTTTCGTCGAGTGAAAATGATATGAATTTACGCGGTGTTTGGACAGCGAAGGCGATGGTGATAGAAGAGATCATTTTGAAATTTGCCAAAGTCGATGAATGAATGAATTTTACAGAAAGCGTCGGGCTTCGTTCAATAATTAGTTGTGGACGGGGAACGGAATGATTCAAATACAATTGAATTAATAAATAAAAGAAACTTATATGAAATGAAAAATACTGGGCGCTTCTTAAAAGAGATTGCCAACGGTTTCCCACTAAGGGATGAAATAAAATATCCTGGGTATGAATCAAAAATTTTCACTTGTCGGACGGGTGTCCCAAACTAATTGTAAACAATAAAAAAAATAATTTGCGGTTTCCTACCTTAGAAAAATAAACGGGGTTATTCAGTATTCTATCAATATCACGGTCACTAACAGAGTACTTCACTAGTCGGTGGAGGAGAGAGAAGAGCTTACGGTTGCCGGAAATCAAGAGAGAGTAATTCCCAGATGTGATCGAATTTATGCTTTTTCGCTGGGCAAGATTGAAGACCGGTAATCCCAAGTGGGGGATATCACCACTATATCCGACTATTTACAATTTAAAAATAAAAAATGTCCTTCTAGTACCTTGACTAATAAAAGTAGATAATTGGTACGAAATCGACTCTACAAAATGCCCATTCGGATTTCGGCAAATATAGGAATATTTTAACCTACGAGGGTACTCGCAATTGTTGAAAAACGGTAATTCCTGAGAAACAGAAACATCTTCTACATGTCCTCAGGCGGGAATTAATTGAAATATACATTTTTTAATTAATTAATTTAATTAATTAAAAATAAAATTTAGTGACTTCGTCATACCCTTGATTAACTTAGGTTTGGCAGGTTTCGTCCAAATAATAATGTTGTCCCCTCATTGCGATATCTACGAATTTCCTTTAAATAGTTTCTATGCCAAACAACGATTTCCTCTTTTTCCAATAGTGCACTATCATGTTTTCTTTTACAATAACGAAAATTCACGTCTTAAGACTCGGCGCAATATTTTTGGCAAATTACTATCCTTCTGTAAGTCGACACTGATTTTATTCACAGTAGGGATTTTATTACAAAAAAAATCATTTTTTTGCGAATCGCGTGTTCATCGTAATCATCTAATATTTGTTTACATCCCCGTTTTTCTTTTAGATTCGATCTTGTTTTATAATTTTCTATACTCGGTTTTTTTAATGCCACAAAAAAATGCCGTTTCGCAGAAGGGTTGCTACAGCTAAGTAACCCTGGTTCATTTTAAATGACGTTTAAACAATTTCAAAAACAAAAAATAAATAATTTACAAGGTATATATTATTTATCCAATTCTCTCAGAAACCAAACAATTAACGAACTGAACGTACAAGCTATTATTGCCTCTGCAAATGAATTATGGACGTTGCATTTTCTATATGGAGTGTGACTCAAACGTGGCCGTTTTATTCACCGACCTTCATATTAAACTGGATGGCCATATGTCATAAGCCCTACTCCTAATTTCAAAGCTGATGTGGATAAAAAAAAAAACGGTCAGTGCGCATGACAATTTTGACGCAAGACTGTCAATTTTAAGCGTTTACGTCACGTTTTTCACGGGCGTACTACGATAAGTTATATTATTTTTTATAATTATCGTATTTTAATTAATATTGTTATTGGAACATTTGTTTTAATTGCGTATTCATCAAGAATCATTTTTAAATGAGTTTCTTAAATTAGAAGGTAGTTGAATGTAATAAGTGTTAAATTTAATTTTGGTGCTACCTTTTAGTACATTTGGATAACTCGAGGTTGTTCTAAGAAATGCGGTAATTCTGAAAGGTCAACTCCAGTTTCCTATTTTAACTCCAGAAATGTCAAAAAATGACAGATAAAAAATTAGTGAAGATCGCAATATAAAAATTGTTCTTGCTGCTTCCATCCATAAAACACCTAGTATTCGTACCAAGTTTGATTTTTTAAATGGCTGAATTCTGTTGATTAACGAAAAAAAAAACAGATATTTTTCTAACTTTGTTGATCTCTAGCGATAAACGAAGCAAATTGGTATATAGGTAAGTTTGGTAGCTCCATGTACACAATTTGTCTTCGAATAGTCACTATGTGTGAGATAATTTTTGACACAAGTCCAAATGGGTGTATCCAAGGGTAGAATAAGCGAAATATATTGAACATAAATGATCTAAAGCTTTCTTCGTGAATCACCCTGTCTTTAAAGGTTGCATTATCATTATAGATGACCCAATGACCTTATTTATATCAAAAACAAAAATATTTCTGACAATTCAAGGAAAATATTCAAGGTTCTGTGATTAATTACGATTCTATAAATCTAATTTTTTTTTGTTTTTTAGATTATAATTTTTGGAATTTTCTGAATAATCATTTGTTTATAAGTATACTTATGCTGTTTTTTTTCTAAAGTTTCTCTTTCAGGTTTAAGTAGTGCACATAATGTCAATGTATGAGCTTAAATCACTACTTGAAAGGTAAAGTTCTCCTACACATGAGAAAGAAATATGACCGCGAATGCATAATAGATAAATAAAAAAAAGGCTAAATGCCTATTTTTTGGACTATTATTCCATTTAAGTGATTTTTAGATCTTAAAATAATATTCTTAAAGATAATATTAGTTAAACTAGTAATAAAGAAGATATATAATTCGAAATGTAAAAAAACTGGAGTTGTTTAGATACAAATGAGTTAAATAGCACTATCCTAAAACAAACCGCCCATATTATACTAAAACCCCTTACTTTAATTAATCTGATTTTTAACAGTTACACTTTAACTATTCTAAAGTTCTTCCACTCCTTTAAAAAAGAGACAACTATCGTCCGATTTAGATTTTTATTAAACTTATTGAAAATGATAAAGCAACGTTTATATGACTATTTTGATAAAAATAACTTTTTAAATAAGTCCTGTGTTAGCTTCCAAAGGTAAACACGTATTTCTAGGCACTGATAATAGTACAAGTGGTTCACACAAGTTTAGAAAAAATACCAAAAAGCCAAAGACAACCATTCGTATTCCTACTAATAGCCAACAATCTTTAACTGATATTAACCCAACAAAAAGTGATACCACAAAAAACAATAAACAACATAAATACACTACTCAACCAAAATAACTTTAAGAAAGGTAATAATTCTTTAAAAATGAAAGAAATTACATAAAGATCGTAACTATGTGTTTTACATAAAGGCCTCTGAAACCATGACTAGAAAAACACTAGCCGATTTGAGGAATAAATTAAGTAGGTACTGACAGCAACGAGGTTATACTATAAACAAAATTAGGCTTTTTAATCAAGTTAGATCAACATAAACTAAATATTATAACTAATTTTAAAAAATTTATTGAAACATATTTTAAATTACTCTGAAAGAAAATCTTCCAGTATGCCATTGGTATACAATAGCAGTACATCAAAAAACACATACAGTGTGGTCATTGGAACTGTTGAACACGATATAACGATGAAGAAATAAGTACAAATAAAGCAATATACCTGATTAGAATCATATCTGAATGCCTACAATTTCCAATGTATCCTAGTCAGCCACCACACAAGAGGGAAAACTGTACAACTCCAATTAAATATAGCAAGTGTAATGGACCACATCATTTCAGCAAATGTAAGGCACAACTTCCACAAAAGTTTGTAAGCTGCGGTGCTGAAGATCACGCTGCAAGGTCGATGAAATGCCCAAAACGTCCAACAAGCCAATTCAAGGAATTCCCAACAAGCCCATACAAAAAATCTAAAGAGATAGATAAAAAAAATTACTAGAAGCAGTAAGATGCATTCAAACATCACAGTTCATGATCACATTCTCAGTACATATGTTAATAAACTTATTAAAAGAAAAAATACACAGAGAGAACTGCTTGAAAAACTCAGAAAAAGATTTGTTACACACTGTCTCGGGAAACAGAGTATACATCCTGATGTTTGATCTAGACGAACCACTATCCCCTACACAACTCATCGAAGGAAATAATGCCGATACTTAAAATTATATATGCCAAATGTCAACAGCTATATACTATATAATATAATGGAACAGAAAAACATCATCTATGGTTTATTCATAGAAACTAAAACTAATGAATAAAGTAACAAAAAATACAAAAACTTGTAAACTATCCAGAAAAATGGAAATGTGGTAAATATCAACGTAAGAGGAAAAACTTTAGTGCACATCCATCTAAGCATACAAATGAAAAAAGAAAATCCTCCAAGAATCAACAATCCTCTTAATGAAGCAACACACTTTTAGGCTCCCTGTTTAGAAGAGTGACTACATTTTATTTTGTAATATGTACATCCCACTTCAGTAATAGAACAATCTATCTTTAATAAAGCCGCATTCTACAAGTACTGTTATTATAGTAGAGTTTAACATCAATAAATTCAAAAACTAGCATGTACAGGATTTTACATAAAATGGTCAGTTCAAAAAGGCAATAACCCAACCAATATTTCACATGAACAATAATCAAGACACTACTTGGGATCTGATGTTATATAAAAAAAACATAGAAAGCAATGAAACAAAAATGGAAAAAAATCGGGATTTGTTGTGTGAACTGCTATAGAAGTTTAAATAAACCTAAACAAAAATATTAACTGTAAAATCCTTCTGTTTATCACCTCTCTTAGCTCTCACCACACATCTCTTCTCACTCTGCACCTACAACTGGAGCGTATTGACTGTCGAATTGATGTTGGCAGCATGAATATTATATTTTTTCAATGAATAGCTACATCTCCTCTTATCTCTGGGCCCGGCCAATGGTACAACGTGGTCGGGTCGTAAAAACTGGCATCGCTGATATTATTCGTTTCCTGTTCGCTCTAATACTTACTCTATATAATTTTCACACGCACTTGTACAAACCGTATTGGAAAGCTTTCGATAGGCTCTCAGTGACATTCATTTTTGCTGTGTGCTTTTCAATTTGTCTTTAACAACAACAAAAAAATGCAGAATAATATTTTTGTTTTATCTTGTTTTGCCTTATTTTCCTTGTTTTACCTTATTTTCCTTGTAACTTTATGTTGTTTTTAAATTAAAAATGATTTTTTTTTATTAGTAAAATGTAATTAGTAAAATCATATTTTATCAAGAAAGTAATGTGAAAAATATCATCTTTCTTACTTTTTCAGAAGAAATTTTTTAACATCCAGGTTTTGTCCATATTTTTTTTATAAACTTGTCCTGGCCTGAGAAGCTTTCATCTGATAAACCTAGGTAACAGTTATAACCTCCAATGTACAAACCGTAAAACTAGAAGGCGAGCATAGTGCAGCAGTGTTTCTGGACAATAACAAAGCTTTCAACAGTATATGACATCAAGAACTTTTATACAAACTGTGGTGAATGAGCAATCTTAAAAACATCCTCTGCTTAATCAAAAATTATCTGTGCAGTAGAAAAGTAGTAATAAAAATAAACAGCATATACTCACAATCAATTATTACCTTTGTCCTCACTTTTATACAACCTATTATCACGACTTATCCAATTTTAAACAAAAAAATATAAATACTGATTTGTACATCTTACAATATGCAGATGAAACAAGGCTAATTAGTCACATAAAGCAGTAGAAAGTATACAACACCTCATCGACAGAACATAAATAAGGTTTAACAGGTGGAGATTAAAACCAAACTCCAGAAAATTGGAATTCATAATATTCCACCATAAAAAACATACCAACACACCAACTATTTCCATAAACAATATAGCGATTGAATGTGTATATTATGCCAAGTACCTGGGAGTACTTGGCACCTGGATCAAAAACTAAATTTCAAGCAACACACTTCTGAAGTAAAAAAATGTATAACCAGAGCAAAACATTTTAGAAGTTTAACTTATAAAAAAGAAGGCATATCCCAGAAAACTGAAGCTCATATCTACAAAACAATACATCTTAGAGTACTGCTATCCCATATATATTGATTCAAGCAAAGTCACACTGGAAAATATTGAAGTAGCTGAAAGAAGTAAATTATGATCCATCACTAAAACAAGACACCCAAAAAACCAATTACATAATCCACCTAATGCCCTTCTCTATGAAATTAGGTAGTAAAAACCAATATAGCAGTGATTAATAAATACATCTGACTCAAAAATTATGTGAAAAAGAAGAAACTAGAGATATAATTGAACCCCTATGCCGACTCCATGATCCACTCAGGCATGTCAGGTGGAAGTCTCCAGAAATTACCATATGGGCATATATAACATCACAGTGGAACTTTTGACACAACAAAATTCTATTACTTTTTGTTTTTTTTATACATATACACATTATTTTTTTTATCAAATCATAATGTTCATTTGCATGTTGTATGTAATAGGATAAAGGATTTCAGTTGATGGCCAGTTGGTTATTCCAATAAAGCATGTTTATTATTATTAATAATAAATCTTAATTTGGATTTAGAATAGAATGTGCGACAACACAAATTGTTTAAAATATTGTAAGTAGTTGAAGGCCTTGAAGGGGGTAATCACATTACCTTTCTCCAGCTTTTGATTTGTGTCTCTCATAGTATTTTATTAGAAAAACTTGTTACTACAGTATAAGATGTACTTACAGCATTATCCATTTTTCGATTATTTTTAGATGATCGGTATCAGTAAATTATAATATAATATTTTAAACTTATTAAACAAGGAGTTTCTCAGGGAACCACTACTCTTTATTATATATTTATATTGACCCTTTCTTTACTGATCATTATAAATGCTGCAGTGTCACCATTCCCAAGCTTTTTAATTTGCCATTGGGCCCACTCTTATACAGGGTCGACCACTGAACATTTTCCAATATGCTTTGCAGAAGTCCATGTGATAACTACAGGTAATTAGCATAAGTGTGAGCAGGAAGGTGTAATATCAGCTTTGCCAGTTTATATGAGGCTGGACCATGTTGTAACATTAGATTTCTTTTTTATTTGTTGGGTATGATATTTGATATTGAGTTTGTTGTGAGCTAGTTCTATTCCTAGATATTTACAATGTTGACTAGGTTTTAGTGTATGATTTTGAATGGTTATGGTTGGAGAATTAATTAGCTGCTAAGGTGTGGTTAAACAAGATGATTTTGTTTTTGGAAGGATTTGGCTTGATTCTGCATTTGTGGAAAAAGGAAATTGTGCTATTACATAAACTTTGTGGAGTTCATTGCTGGTATTGATATTTATTGTGAGCTATAAGGCCAGTGATGTCAACAATCTGAAGAGTTTTTAAAGACTGAATTTGATTAAAGGGTGAAGATTGTCAGATATATCATGGCAGAAAAAGTTAGATACCTATATGAAAATGGTGAATATAAAACCATTTTTTAAGAATGTTAAAAATTTGTTAAATTGCTGTAATGCTTACTTCCAGCTCTACATGTATAGTGCAAGAAAAAAAATTACATAACTTCCAGTTATGTAATTTAAATTTTATTTGTGTTGCATGCTCGCATCAAAGTTCAACAAATCAAAGGTATAATAAAATTGTAAATTATAGATTAAATTATTAAACTATTAACTCTTAAATTTTCTTTCCCTGAATAGACAAATAAATAAGTAACAAAGTTTAATATTTAAATTAGGTAATAAAATTCAGAAATATAAAAAAATTAACTTAAAACCGAGCTTAAAACTTACTGAACTCAAAATAGTTAGGCAAGCTGAATAAAATCTTCTTCTGTGAAAATTGACTGTCACTATCCGAGTACACTTGCAGCAAAATAGCATTTTTATGATCAACAACTGCTTCATTCAAAATGCATCCAAATTGTAAATTATCCATACTATATTGATCCCTATCGACTGTAAAAGCCTGACATGCTTTTTGATCATAATCGGAAATTTTTATTAGGGCTTCTAAAAGAAGAAATACACAATATTCATTTTTTAGCTTGTTACAGGTATCTCAAAGAATGGTAGACAATTTTATTTCTAAATGAAAGAGCTCACTTACTTGTCCAGTGCTTTACAAAATTAAAGGTTACAGACAATTCCATAAAGGGTGGTTCAGATTTCAAATACAGATAAACATCTCCAATGTTATGAATCAAACTTTCACCCACCGTATAATCTAAATCTTCACATATTTCCGAGGAATTACTAACCGTTACTCGATAAGTAACGTTTTCGACCGGATTTTTCTAAAAATGTAATACATTGTTTACAATTAGTGAACATTGGAGTAATTACATTTTTTTACCTCGAGCCTGTCGCATAGTTCGAAAGCGTGCAAACATATTGGATGAAATAGTAATAAAAACTTCCAAAACATTATTTAAAACGTTTTTCTTACATTTTTTTATAAAAAAATTTGTTTGTTTTTGTATGTTTTTTCAATCAATAACAAAAAGTCAACTGTCAACTTCATAAATATTGTCAAGTGTCAACTTTCAAACAAATATATGCTGCGTTTGACATTGCGTTCGGTCTGCCAAGTTCCTTTAACTCCTTTAAGGCCATTTTGCACCACTGGTCGTTAAGAACTAAGCGAAGCTTAAAGTGACATTGTCAATGGAAAAATGTCAGTTTAAGCTTGGCTTATTTCTTAACGACTATCGGTGCAAAAGGTTATAAAACTTTTTACTCCAAACGACCCTTTTAGCGTTCGGTTTAGTCAATGAACTGGAAAGGGGTAGAATGCCAATGTACATGTTGTACTATTAGAACAAGGTGCGACTCGATAGGCGCAGCCATTTTTATTGTTCATCTCACTCGGGACTATTTATAATAACCATTTTCTGTTTCACATTGTTATTGTTCAATCCACAAGCTGGTGGATCAGACAATAACAATGTGAAATAGAAACTGGCTATTTTAAATACTCCCATAGAGTCGCACATCAAGTCTATTGACAAGCATTCTACCCCACTCCAGTTCATTGGGTTTAGTCCACGTTTAGTCCGATTAGTGACAGTTTAACACGCTTAAATGTCATTTAAAAGCACCCTAAAAAACTCCGATTTTGTTCCGCTCCAGCCCCTGACTATCCGAACTCGCCTTGAGAATCCACATCGGATGCAACTATTGCTGCGTTTGAGAATCCACATCGGATGCATCTGAGATGTAAAAAATCTTTGATCACGTGATTCAGTATACGTAAATGTAATGAGACAGATGTGTCCGATGTGGATAAAAAAACGCTCGAGATGTAAAAAATGCATCCGATGTGGATTCTCAAACGCAGCATATGATGTAGTAAATCTTTGATCACGTGATTCAGTACACGTAGTAAATGTAATGGGACAGATGTGCCCGATGTGGATAAAAAACGCTCGATATGTAAAAAATGCATCCTCCTCCTTCTCCTCCTCCTTCTCACCTGGCTCATTTAGTTTTTCTAAGCGCCTCCAGACCATTTTTGAGCTGATTACGTAAGAACTCAGCGCTTTGATGGCTGCTTGGCTATCGGACATGATGATAAATCTCTTGTCTGCGACAGTTTCTCTCAATGTTGAACTGGATACACTCCTCAATGGCGTAAATTTCTGCTTGGAAGATGCTTGGTAATTACCCAAACTTTCACTACTTTTGGAGTGCCTGGTTTTAGGCGCGTACACTCCTTATTATAGTTCCTTATCTATGGTTTTTTGTAGGATAGTAAATAACGCAAATGTATAAAGAAAATTTCATACCACTAACAACATAAATTAAGTTACGGTTATATTTTGAATTTATTATTTATTAAAATTCTCACACGCACTGCGCATGCTTTCTGAATTGTATTCTCTCGTTATTTTCATTTCCTCTGCCTAAAAGTAGGAGAAAGTTTTAAGAGAAAATATTCCACCAATTTTGGTGAATACGAATTTTTTTCAATTTATCTCTAAAAGTAACCTCAGAAACATTTGATTGAATAAATTTAAAATATCTTCGGCCTGGAACACTATTGCGCTATTTCATTTGGTCAATTTTTTTTTATTTAACTTTTAAACTTGTATAATAATGACTTTCTTGTCTCTTGTCTGGAATAATTCGCGATATAAAAAATTGTTGTAGGTTACCTAACAAGTTTTAGGTACAAGAAAATCTGTCAATTTTTTTTTATAAAACTATTATACAAACTAAAAAAACCTTGTACAGTTCTGCATCACTTCGAAATCCAAAATCAAGCATCAAATTTGATAAAAAATGACATGGAAAATAATTTATCTTATAAATCACTATTGCAAATCTTAATTACACGCATATTATTTGTTACCATTTAATATATGTAGAATAAGTGAATTATAGTTAACTTTTTGATTATCTGGAAATCTGATATGTTTTTCGTGAGTGTACCTTAAAAGACAGACACGGACGCCTTTTTTGTAGGCCTTTTTAATACCTACAATTTTCTAGAAAATTATCTTATTGCATATCTTAAGATTTGGCCAGCTTTAGCCATATAAGCGCACGAAAACACTTTTTTGAAAAAACACCGTCATAGTTCAGCCATTTTGGAATAAATATTTACAAATTATATAGAACAACCTTCCACGCTTTTCTCTTTTTCTACTAGTGAAACCCGTATCAAAATCCGTTGCGTGGTTTAGAAGAAGTAATCGGAGAAACAGACAGAGACAGACAGCGATTTTGTTTTATACTATTTAGAAATATATTAAAATTATTTACATACCTTTTCTAAGTTGTATTACATTTATTGCAATTGTGTGTTTTATATAGTGTTATTTTTAAGATCTGTCTGTTATAAGAAAATGTATAGATCTCATATTATTATTTAACTAGATGCACACCCAATTTTAAAACCCAAAAAAGTGTTTTCAAAATAGCTAACATAATCTCGTGCCTTGAAGTAAAAATTAATGTAATTCTTTTTTTAATATTTAAATGCTGAAATATTATTTTAAAACACATTTAGGCCAGAACGGTTCTGTTCAGTATTTCGACCCGCTTTTCATTGTTTTATTTACACATGGGTGAGCAGTCTATATAACTATATATCATGGGAATGTTACCATGCCGATTTTATTTATACGCATCATCTGTGATACGCATTGCGCATGCTTGTTCTTTAAATGTAAACAGAGAAGTCTCACTTCACCGGGATTCGAGATTGAAATATCGAAAATTGAAACTTTGTGATATTCTGATTAAAGCCCCTCTCAAAAGTGAATCTTTGTTTTTGTTTGAAAATTAAAACGTGGTAGACACTGGTTAATAACATTTGAATGTTACATTCCGTTATAGGTAGAAAATGTAGTGATGTATTAATTAATTCACGGGATATTCATAACAAACCAACCAAAATATGGAACAAAACGATAGTTCTCAACAAGTAAGTTTAATTTTAGCCCAATATCTTTTTGTGAATGTAATCTAAATATAACATTTTTCTCAGTCGCCCCGTTCTGAATCGGAATCTTTATCGCTACCCATGCCAGATGACTCCAAAACGAATAAATCTGAAGAGATATCAGAACATTTATCATTAAATAACGACAGCATCGAAAACGACCGATCTTTTCAAGAAATAGAAGTTTCTAATGGTCAGAATCTATTTAATTTATCCCAATTAGACGATGTGTTACATATTTCTCAAGAAAAAAGTGCCTTAGACACCAGTTTACATAGTGAACACAGTATAATAAGTTTAAACTATTTACAAGACATTGAGAATCGATATTTAAATAAAGTACCCGAAAATGTATTTCGATTTGGGTATAACAACTCGGACAGGGAAGAAAGTTTTAACATTTTTGCCGATTTAGATCTGGACGATAAGAGTTTATCGAACTTGAAACCCAGTAGGGATATAAGTTTAGATGAAAAGAACTTGTATGCTACGAATTTCGGTCTTATTACTAGTGACCGTGAGTTGGATAAAAGGATTAAGGATTTTGAAGAGCTTATCACAATAAAAGATAACACCATAGCTGCTCTAACTTTTGAATTGGATTCAATAAAGGAAAATAGCAATGTTAACACAGGAAGCACATTGTCTACTACAGAATATAAACAAATCCAAGATGAGTGGCATACTAGGGTAAGGTTGACATATTTTAACATAATTTTATTGCCATTTAAATTAGGTTAAAAAAACTGGTGTTTCCAACACATGACTTTCCTGTCTTACTTAAAATAAAATTATAATAATAATAAATGCTTTTATTTGCCAAACTAATACAAAGAAAAAATATATGAATACAAATATCAGAGTTTTGCTCTTCCACTCAACCAGTATGATAGACATATCTTACACATCTTCTGATGTATAGATGTGCCCTGCATGTTCACTTAATAATAATTTAATCTAACCCACAATATGGCTTTAAGAATAGGAAAAAAAAAATATTGAAAACCCAAAACAGTAAACATCTCAACTCAAACATTAAAATTAGCTAGATGAGTATAATCCAGTATATCAATAATAATAAAATAATAATAAAAAATATATGAAGTTAAAATTTATCTAAAAACTATAAGCCTTTTCCAGTTATTCTGTACAACTTATTGTATCACTCCTGTAAAAGTTTAGAGAATGAACTAAATACATACATTTTTCACACACATCTTATTCGAAACATTTTTTTATATTCATTACCAACAAAAATGCTGAAAAATTATTTACACTTCTCAAATTTTTCCATTACCGTCCAATTTAGAGAAATCATGTATAAAACAAAAATTATAGAGAATGAAACCACAAACAACTTTAATTTGAACAATTTTCTTGAAAATTCAAATTTTGCACTTTTTTCAAAATTTTTGAATACAGACCATTTTAGGGAAATCATATATAGAACAAAAATTATAGACAATGACATCACAAGGAACTTTTATTTGATGAATTTTTCTTCTCAAAGCATAAATAACAGTTATTATATTCCTTAAAGTAGAAAAAACGACCTTATGTTATGTTGGGAATGGGCTATTAATACTCTGGGACCTAAAAGATCTATTGTGTCCCCTTCTGGCGCTAATGCAGCAAGGAAATGTATCAATGCCTATAACGACCCTTCCAATCATATCTTCTCAAGGAAGTGTAGGATTTGGAGTGGCTTCAAGTTAGGTAAATCTTCCTCTTCTATTTTATATGCTCCTAGGTATAGTGCCCTTGGATTATGGAGTGCCATTCAGTTAGAATGTGAATGGATTATGACCAAAATCGAATGAACTCATTTAAGGATGGATGACAGCTTATTTAAAATTTAGTGTTTTTTATTTGTTTTTGAGTTATCATAGATACAGAAACACAAACATCATTGCAAAAATAGTGAAAAAAAAATCATGATTTCTATACTTTCCTTATCTGTATACAGACAGGAAAGTAAAAATATGTACCTACTCACTATATTTCATATTCGTTTAAAAAATATGACAAAATAATGGATCAGCCATTTGATAACCACCTTGTTATCTGCAATAAATGACAGATTATATTGTTTAGCCAATATACAGGGTGGCTCACGCTCAACGGGACGGAGCTTTATGGGAAAACGACCAAAGATATAAAAAATTCGTTTGGGAGGAATACGTAGGTTACAGACGGCTACAATTTAAAATTTGTTAGATGTATACAGGATGTCCCACATAAGAAAAAAAAAATTAGTTCATTAAAAATTATTCAAACAAGAGTAAACAATTAATTTCTGGGAGACTTTTTTTCCTTAAAAATTCAAATAAATCGAAAACTAATAATAATAATAGTAATAGGGAACCTTTAGTTAACTGACATTGTTTTTGATGTAGTTTTTAATTCTAAAATAAAAAACAGGGTGTTCCATTAAAAATAATATAACTTTGTATATTTTCTCTTATGTGGGACATCCTGTATACATCTAACAAATTTTAAATTGTAGCCGTCTGTAACCTACGTATTCCTCCCAAACGAATTTTTTATATCTTTGGTCGTTTCCCATAAAGCTCCGTCCCGTTGAGCGTGAGCCACCCTGTATAGTAACAATATTGTACTTGCAAGCAGAATTGACCTGATTGGTTGCAGTAGGTGATTTTTGATAAATGATTTTGAATGACTGTGAGTTACATTAGAATATTAATTTTGATTGGTACTTAAAACGTAAATTATGCAGAACAGGTAAATGCTAAAAACAAAAATAATATATACAATATACAATCAATCATTAAAACAAAAATTGACATAATCAATATGAGACAACTTAGGGTGTGTACATGCTGAAGATGCCATGATGATTGATGAGTGATGATAGATTATTGGTGTACATGCCAAAGATATCTTCCTCGCTGAGTGATGATCGATGCTTCAAGCAGTTTTGCCAGGTGTACGATAATGATCGTTTTATATGATAATTTTGGTGTTCTGTACAATGTATGATTAAACCAAAATGTAAGATAATTGCACTACATAACTCAAACGCTCCCTTTCAAAAAAACTGTAAAATGTTATGCTTTATGCCACTCAGGACCATTCGCACCGCTAGCAGTTAAGAAATAAGCGAAGCTTAAAATGACATTGTCAATGGAAAAATGTCATTTCAAGCTTGCTTACTGACCAGTGGTGCAAATGGACCTCAGAAGGATATACAGTTTTTGAAATAGCTGTCACATTCAGAATATAAACTATAAGAAAAATAAGAAGTATTTATCTGTACCGGTTTCTAAAATAACAGAAAACCATCTTCAGAGGATTTTCTTCAAATGGGCGGTGCTCCCTTCTAAGAAATTTTTGGCTACATATTTATACAAACTTTCTGCCTTATTTCTACCTGTATTAAAAAAATATTTATCTCTAATTTTAAAATATCCTATAGGTATTGTTATAGTTTTAGAAACATGTAATCCAACTTTATCAGCAGTCCATTTTAAAACTAGTGAAGATAACATATTGCTGTACAATATTCATCCTACTGTTTTATAATAATATGAAAAAAATTTATTTCACAGTTATCGGAATTTAACAGCGCCATCATTTACAAAAATGAATTGATTCAGCAATTGACAGAATCTTTGGACCAATCAGTGAAAGAGAGAAAAGAAATGTTGGAACAAATCGAAGAGTTCAAAAATGTGATTGCCGACTTGCAATCGAAAATTCAAGATTCCGAACTCAGAATGGTAGCAGAAGAACCTAGTCTTACTAAAACAGACGAAACTCATATAAATATCGATAAAGTATTTTTTTTTATTTACAAAGTTTTGTATAATTTAAATTATGCGTTTTTCAGATTGAAACAAAATCTGATGCAGTAAATAAAAATTTATCTAAAGAATATTTAAATCTGGAAGAAACTTTAGATTCTTTACAACGTAAATTACTGTTAGAGTTGAAGGCGAAATTTGACAACGTCCTGTGCGAAACTGTTGGAAAAAATAATGAAATGTATGAAAATGAAATAAAGAAATTAAAGGTAAGTATTTTTATTTACCCTGCAAGTGATTATAAATTATTATTTTTGGAAGATGCTCTTATAATCCAATGTTGGGCAGTAAGTAAGGAATGGCATTTTTTTATTTTAATATTTTACTAATTAACGAAAAAATATTTGTATTTTTATAGCAGTTTAAAATAACTTTTTTAGTTTGTTTAAACTTAAAAAAAAACATGGTTTTTTTATTTTCAATCTCTTGATAACAGTCTGAAATCTGCATCTTATGTTAAAAAATGATGGGCTTTATCCTCCCCGTGGATACAATAACTCGCAGTTATTGAGTAAATTTGATTTACCAACGCTATTAGAGAGAAGATCTTATTTAATGTTAATATTTTTGTATAAGTTGCTAAATAATAGAATTGACTGCTCGGAAATATTAAATAAAATATGCTGGCGTATTCCGAACAAGAACACTAGATTAAGAACATTATTTTATCTCAACCAAAGTAATACCAATCTTATGTTAAAATCACCAATCTACAACATGTGTGAAACATATAATAATCTTGCCAGTTTCAATTATGATATTGATATATTTGGTATGACCTTACCCAAATTCATTAATTGTACTCGTCAATCATTGTTTTAATCATTGTTTCAATTTCATTGTTTTATAAATCATTTTTCAATCATTGTGTTAATTGTATTGAAACAACATTGTTTACTTTATTTATAATTTATATAGATACTTTAATTATATGTTAATTGCATTGTCTTGTAAATGGGACTACCTGTTAGACAATAAAGCTTATTATTATTATTATTATTATTATTATTATTATTATTATTATTATTATTATTATTATTATTATTATTATTATTATTATTATTATTATTATTATTATTATTATTATTATTATTATTATTATTATTATTATTATTATTATTATTATTATTATTATTATTATTATTATTATTATTATTATTATTATTATTATTATTATTATTATTATTATTATTATTATTATTATTATTATTATTATTATTATTATTATTATTATTATTATTATTATTATTATTATTATTATTATTATTATTATTATTATTATTATTATTATTATTATTATTATTATTATTATTATTATTATTATTATTATTATTATTATTATTATTATTATTATTATTATTATTATTATTATTATTATTATTATTATTATTATTATTATTATTATTATTATTATTATTATTATTATTATTATTATTATTATTATTATTATTATTATTATTATTATTATTATTATTATTATTATTATTATTATTATTATTATTATTATTATTATTATTATTATTATTATTATTATTATTATTATTATTATTATTATTATTATTATTATTATTATTATTATTATTATTATTATTATTATTATTATTATTATTATTATTATTATTATTATTATTATTATTATTATTATTATTATTATTATTATTATTATTATTATTATTATTATTATTATTATTATTATTATTATTATTATTATTATTATTATTATTATTATTATTATTATTATTATTATTATTATTATTATTATTATTATTATTATTATTATTATTATTATTATTATTATTATTATTATTATTATTATTATTATTATTATTATTATTATTATTATTATTATTATTATTATTATTATTATTATTATTATTATTATTATTATTATTATTATTATTATTATTATTATTATTATTATTATTATTATTATTATTATTATTATTATTATTATTATTATTATTATTATTATTATTATTATTATTATTATTATTATTATTATTATTATTATTATTATTATTATTATTATTATTATTATTATTATTATTATTATTATTATTATTATTATTATTATTATTATTATTATTATTATTATTATTATTATTATTATTATTATTATTATTATTATTATTATTATTATTATTATTATTATTATTATTATTATTATTATTATTATTATTATTATTATTATTATTATTATTATTATTATTATTATTATTATTATTATTATTATTATTATTATTATTATTATTATTATTATTATTATTATTATTATTATTATTATTATTATTATTATTATTATTATTATTATTATTATTATTATTATTATTATTATTATTATTATTATTATTATTATTATTATTATTATTATTATTATTATTATTATTATTATTATTATTATTATTATTATTATTATTATTATTATTATTATTATTATTATTATTATTATTATTATTATTATTATTATTATTATTATTATTATTATTATTATTATTATTATTATTATTATTATTATTATTATTATTATTATTATTATTATTATTATTATTATTATTATTATTATTATTATTATTATTATTATTATTATTATTATTATTATTATTATTATTATTATTATTATTATTATTATTATTATTATTATTATTATTATTATTATTATTATTATTATTATTATTATTATTATTATTATTATTATTATTATTATTATTATTATTATTATTATTATTATTATTATTATTATTATTATTATTATTATTATTATTATTATTATTATTATTATTATTATTATTATTATTATTATTATTATTATTATTATTATTATTATTATTATTATTATTATTATTATTATTATTATTATTATTATTATTATTATTATTATTATTATTATTATTATTATTATTATTATTATTATTATTATTATTATTATTATTATTATTATTATTATTATTATTATTATTATTATTATTATTATTATTATTATTATTATTATTATTATTATTATTATTATTATTATTATTATTATTATTATTATTATTATTATTATTATTATTATTATTATTATTATTATTATTATTATTATTATTATTATTATTATTATTATTATTATTATTATTATTATTATTATTATTATTATTATTATTATTATTATTATTATTATTATTATTATTATTATTATTATTATTATTATTATTATTATTATTATTATTATTATTATTATTATTATTATTATTATTATTATTATTATTATTATTATTATTATTATTATTATTATTATTATTATTATTATTATTATTATTATTATTATTATTATTATTATTATTATTATTATTATTATTATTATTATTATTATTATTATTATTATTATTATTATTATTATTATTATTATTATTATTATTATTATTATTATTATTATTATTATTATTATTATTATTATTATTATTATTATTATTATTATTATTATTATTATTATTATTATTATTATTATTATTATTATTATTATTATTATTATTATTATTATTATTATTATTATTATTATTATTATTATTATTATTATTATTATTATTATTATCACCTTAACTAATAACATTAAAACTGTCAAATAATGAAAATATTTTAGATATTACAGTCTTTAAACGCTTGTTTTAGCCCAAATTTGTTTTTTTTTTGTTTGAAAAATTGAACATATACATATATAACCACCAAACTTTTTTAACAGCTGCCCACATGTAGAATGGTGAAGTGCCTCGGAAAAACGCAAATATGTTAAATGATGAAGTGCGTTCAGGAAAAACAGTACTGGGACTGGGTTTCTATTTGTGGGAGCGTGCGGGCCGTGCCCCATGCCGGTGCTGCTGCGAATAAATTAATCTCAAAAAATGTTTAAATATAGTTTTTAAAAAGGACATTTTAAGGTTTAAAAAGTCACAAGGAAAATTTGCCTGGAAAAAGGACAGATGGCAACCCTAATTAAGAGCGAAAAGTGAGACAGAAAGCGGCAACAATATTTTCGCTCAAAATGCACACAAGATTTTTCTACAATCACATTATTTTAAGAAATAGATATAAAAACTGAAAATTTGTCGTAAGTAATGTATAATGTGTTGCCTATATCTACGTTAATCATGAAAAACGGAGTTGATATTCAAAGTCAATGTTAACATGGATAATAAACCAAAATCATCAAACTACGTACAAATAACTTCAAAATCATTTGTTAAAGAAATATCATATTATGTCTAATTTAAATTAGGCAGCAACAAAGCTGTCAATTTTTCTGCTCGGCGAGCGACAAAGCTGTCACTTAATGTCAGTTCGCGGAAAACGTCAACTTTGCGGTTGTATTTCGAAGCGCAAAAGCCTACTTTGGATAGTGATGTAGAAAAAAATATTTTCTCGAAATGTTTAAAAATCATTTCAAAATTGAATCAATTTTTATTTTGAATCTAAACATTCTAAAAGGTTTAAACTTCTGGAACATACAAGGTTCAAACTTCTAGAAAATACAATTAAGGTTAATTGTAAGTTGATTATATATAATTTTAATTTCTTTTGCGGATAAGCCATTGGCTTCATCGCTGAGTTTTTCTCCGGAAAAACGAGACAGTCATTTTATTTTCATGATAACGCTGTCCGTTTTTATACTAACGACTTCAAAAGAAGCTGATTTTAAAGGCCCTTTCAAACATTTTAAAATGCTCTAATTAGTGTTCCCCTAAACATTTGTCGGTTTTCCGTTATTTAACGTTGACTTGTTTCAATTCTGTTTTTGGTGAACAGTCACTTTCAATGAGTCATGCGGTTCGTATTGCATCTACAGAAATAAAAAAAATAGCAATCGATTCGATTTTTAAAAAGCTTTCAATTGTTTTTAACGTTTTTTTTTATAAAACATAAGATTTTTAAGTTATTACAAAAAAAAATTAATATGCATGTTTTTGATTTAAAATCAACATTTTCAATCGTAAATAACTCGAAAAATATTGATTTATCGAAAAAACTTCATAGAACATTTTTTTCTTTAAATACTTCAATCTATCGCTATTTTCAGTTTTTTGAATTAATTAATTTCCACCCGTCCCCCATGGTGAAAGCGCGTAATTCTTCTTCCTTGAACCATTTCCTTACTTAGTGTCCAAATTTCACGTCAATCGTTTTAGTCCTAAAGAATTCGGAACGAAAAATCGTCAAATATTACAAGTCCTCGTTTTGTAGGATAATACGGCAATAGAAAAAGAAGATTTCGAAGCGGAAATTACTAAGCTCCGAAATCTGTTGGACGATTTTAAATCGGGCTCCGCACGCTTGATGGACATCAAAAGCGAACTGGAAGCCAAACATGAGCAAGAAATGGAAAAATTGAGGACGTATTTTGAAAGAAAATGCGTCGATTTGGAGAAAAAGTTTGTATTTTTTTTTAACTTTGATAATTTACTTTGATAGTTTACTTTGATAATTTACTTTGACAATTTACTTTGACAATTTACTTTGATAATTTTGCGTGTGGTTGAAATAAGTACATAAGTCAAGAAGAGTGAACGATATTACTGTGACTTATATTATCATACCCGCCGCATAACGCCGCACTTCGACTAATGTGCATATACACAATCGTTTCTAACATATTTAGGCTTTATTATTGCTTATGTGATTTTACAGTTATCTCTGTAGTTAGTTATGAGGCTGAATTTAAATTAATAAAAATATATGATAATTTGACTTACGTGCTTATTCCGATCATACGCTAATTTACTTTGATAATTTACTTTGATAATATACTTTGATAATATACTTTGATAATATACTTTGATAATATACTTTGATAATATACTTTGATAATATACTTTGATAATATACTTTGATAATATACTTTGATAATATACTTCGATAATTTACTTTGACTATCTCCCTAGACCAAATATCAGCTACTATTTTTCTAGAGAAATAGTCAATATTTGGTCTAGTGAAATAGTCGTCCCAAATATAACACGACCTTGATTAATATTCCTCTATTTTTGTTGTTGCTAAATTTCTCGAACATTTTACAATTTGATTCTGTATAATTTTGGCATTAATAATCAATTGATTAAAGGTGTCAAACTAAAGCTCTCGAGCTCTAATCAGATTATTAATGCCAAAAATTATGTCTCTTCAAATTAATATTAAAATATTCTCGAGATCTAGATTCAACAAAAATAGCTGACTATTATCAAGGTCTTGGTATATTATCCTTGATAATTTATTTATTTTGATAATTTACTTTGATAATTTATTTTGATAATTAACTTGGATAATTTTCTTTGTGTGCTATAGGTGTGAATTTTATGCACTAATCACATTTGATTTGTTTAGTGTAGCTTCAAATATTTGATACATACTTGAGTGTAGCATATTATTATTATACCTTACTTTGATATCTTACTTTAATACCTTACTTTGATATCTTACTTTGTTATCTTACTTTGATATCTTACTTTGATATCTTACTTTGATATCTTACTTTGATATCTTACTTTGATATCTCACTTTGATATCTTACTTTGATATCTTACTTTGATATCTTACTTTGATATCTTACTTTGATATCTTAATTTGATATCTTACTTTGATATCTTACTTTGATATCTTACTTTGATATCTTACTTTGATATCTTACTTTGATATATTACTTTGATATCTTACTTTGATATCTTACTTTGATATCTTACTTTGATATCTTACTTTGATATCTTACTTTGATATCTTACTTTGATATCTTACTTTGATATCTTACTTTGATATCTTACTTTGATATCTTACTTTGATATCTTACTTTGATATCTTACTTTGATATCTTACTTTGATATCTTACTTTGATATCTTACTTTGATATCTTACTTTGATATCTTACTTTGATATCTTACTTTGATATCTTACTTTGATATCTTACTTTGATATCTTACTTTGATATCTTACTTTGATATCTTACTTTGATATCTTGCTTTGATATCTTACTTTAATATCTTAGTTTGGTATCTTACTTTGATATCTTACTTTGATATCTTACTTTGATATCTTACTTTGATATCTTACTTTGATATCTTACTTTGATATCTTACTTTGATATCTTACTTTGATATCTTACTTTGATATCTTACTTTGATATCTTACTTTGATATCTTACTTTGATATCTTACTTTGATATCTTACTTTGATATCTTACTTTGATATCTTACTTTGATATCTTACTTTGATATCTTACTTTGTTATCTTACTTTGATAACTTACTTAGATAACTTTGATTACATTTTAAATACTGATTAATTGAAATAACGAAATGTATATTTAGAATATATTTATTTATCGTAGCTACTCAGAGGAGATATTCAGCCAACATAGTCGGAAAATGTCTAGCTCTAGCTGTTCGGAGGGTGAACTCAATTCCGATTTGCCCTATTCGCACATCGCCGGTCCGGAGGGGGATGGCTTGCACGGTTTTCAATCGAATCTGAGCAAAAAGGACGTGATCAATTTACAAAATGAACTTAATAGCATTATTAATAAGGTACTAAAATAAATAAATAAATAAATGAGTGGATTTGGCAAGGTCGCACCGCAAATATTAACGAATAATCACCGGGGGTTTTATGGTGCGAGGTTGCTAAATTTATTCAGTTTTTTTTCCCCAAATCTGGTGAAAAATTATGGAATGTGAGACTTTTTTTTTAATTTTTGTATTTTACCGCGATATATACAGTGTGTCGCAAAAAGTCTACACTCTATGAAAGACAAAATAATTGTTGATTTCGTAAAATTTTTAATTATAATAAAAGTTGGTGCACAACGTAAAATTCACCATATAGGGAGGTAAATAAGTATATTTATTATTAAAAATTGTTATATGAAAAACTTGTTCAGAAGCATATTTATCGACAAATACGAAACGACAGCCATCTATATCAAAAAATTCTGTTTTCTTGGTGCCGACGTTTTGTGACACGCCGTATATAGGTACGTCGATGCGTTATTTTATCGAAAAAAGAACATATTTCTCGTAGATAAGCAAATGCGATTTGGATAATATGAGCGACGAAGATTTTTCGAATTTAAAATTGGAAATATGCCGATCCGATCTCAAAAGTTTGCTCAAATTCGACGCGGCATCGTCGAAATCTAAACATCACAAGGAACGTGACGCCGAAAAACAGCATCCCGACGTCAGTTCCGCCGTACAAGAAGTGGTAAGTGTTTGAAACTAATTCAAGTAGTTGTAGGTAGCATAGGTACATTAATGAACCAGTAGTTGTAGAGAGTAAAAAGTACACTTTTGTCGATTTTCTCCAAATCTTGGGATAGAATCGAAATAACTACGTCGCAATCTGCCATCGAACTAAAACTACATACATTAATGAATATGCATTTGTTAGATTACAAAAGAAAGTTTTGTCAATTTTTCCCCAGATCTGGTAAAAAAAATCGAAACGTCAACGTCGCAATTTGTTATCGATACGAAACGACATCGATTTAAACGCGGGGATAGTTTCCCAAAACTTCTGCTACAAAAAAATGTCATTCAGGTTTTGCCTTTGACGTTGCCATTTATAGCAGAATTTTTGGCAAACCATATGAACCCCGCGATTGATTCGGACCACTATCGCCTTTTTGGCGTTGCCAATTTGTATGTCGTCTCGGTTCGATGGTAGATTGCGACGTTGCCAATTTGATTTTATCTTCAGATCTGGGGAAAAATTGGCAAGTGTCCTTTACTCCCTAAAACTACTGATTCATTAATATTACATGCGCGAAATTTTCGTGCAATATTATTGAATTATAAAAATTCAGCTAGGACAGTACATTATAGTAGTAGTTTTAGTATTTTAAACTTGGTTAAAAATCATTTTTTACAACTCTATTTCATCAATTTTATTTCGTATGCACAAGTAGAAATACGTCGCCTCCTCAATTTTATTAATTTTTTTGTTTTAATTCATGCATCAAGTAGTTTAGAGAATTAATGTGTTATCAAAATGTCTATGCATGTTCCTATAAAATGTCTGTCGTCGCATGTTCATCTTCATGTTATTAACAGGGAAGTTCTGGGGAATTTGAAATTTACGAAGTGATCCAAAGTTACGAGAGAAGATTGCAGGAACAAGTCACTCTAGCTAAAATAGATATTATTTCGGCATTTGAATTGCAAATACAGGTACTTCTAATTTTGATGTATTTTATTTACTTTTTTTATATATGTAAGCCCTCCAATGTTATGAAATTTAAGAAAATACCTTCTTAGATTACGGGAATTTAAACATATGTCAAAATAGGTCGCAAGAATTTTAATAAATTCCCACGTAGATAGCTGAAATTCCAATTTATAATTCCAGAGATTAATGAATTCCAACGTATGTATATCAAGTTATTTAAGAAATTTATTTTTATTTCCCAAGATTTTTAATAAATTCTTAATTTAAACATTCCTTTGTAGATTATGGGAATTTTAACGTATTTCAATATAGGTCATAAGAATTTTAATGAATTCCTGCATACATAGCGGGAATTCCAAATTATAATTCCACAATTTAATGAATTCCAACGTATGCACATCTAGTTATTTAAGAAGTTTAATTTGATTTCCCAAGTTTTTAATAAATTCTTAATTTAAAAAATCCCTTCTAGATTACGGGAATTTTAATATATTATTTCAAAATAGGTTGCAAGAATTTGAATAAATGTAGTTATTTAAGAAGTTTAATTTTATTTCCCAAGTTCTTAATAAATTCTTAATTTAAAAAATCCCTTCTAGATTACGAGAATTTTAATATATTTAAAAATAGGTCTCAAGAATTTTAATAAACTGGAATTCCAATTTATAATTCCATAGATTAATGAATTCCAAATTATGTATATTTAGTTAATTAAGAACTTTAATTGTATTTCCAATGTTTTTTATTAAATTCTTAATTTTAATCTCTTTTAGATTACGGGAATTTTAACATATTTCAATATAGGTCACAATTATTTTAATAAATTCTCACGTAGATAGCTGAAATTCCAATTTATAATTCCAAAGTTTAATAAATTCCATCGTATGTATATCTAGTTATTTAAAAAGTTTAATTTTAGGTCCCCAAGTTTTTTAATAAATTCTTAAATTAAATGTCGGGAATTTCTTCAGTTTTTTCTAGAACCAAATATAAAAATTGTAATATAGATTTTAAAATTTTAACCTACCTTAAAATGTTTGAATTTCGAACATTTTTATGAATTCCTTCTTATATCCATTAATTTTAATCATTTTTAGGATATTTCTTATTAAATGCATGCTTGTTTTTCTAAAAATTTAATGAATTTCTCCCTATATCATGAAATTTTAATAAATACAGGTTAAATTTTTAATAAATTGGATTTCCAATTATTTAAGACATATTTGATCAAATTTAATAAATCAGTATTATATATATTTTAATAAATTCTTATTTTTATTCCAAAAATGTTGATAACCATCTAAATAAATCAGTAAAAATTCCAGTAAATTCTGATGTAGTTAAATTTATAAATTTTTAATAAAATATTGAATTACAAGATTTTCTTCTTAAACCAGGACAATTTTTAATATGTAAGGATTGTAATGAATTCCTATGAATATTTTAAAATTTTAATAAATTTGGAATTATTTAATGATGATTATGATATACTGTATACTATTTCATAGGGACAGTTGGTTAAATTAAACAAAAGTTGCGCAGTTTTATACTCATTAAAATGTTCCTTTTCCCCTTAATAAACAAAGGTTGTCTATTAATATCACTCTCTAATTAGTCCAACTCTGTCACCATTTTGGTTCTACATTCTACATATCTTGGAGGGCTTTCACAACATCTTCTCTATGACTCCATGTTTACTTATTTCGAAAACCTAATATTTTTAGCGTCTGGCTTCTAACGAAGCGAATGACGACGAATGGCCTAGTGAGCTTCTCAAACTGAGAGATCGATTCACGGAAAAGTACGAAGCTCAAATCGAACATTTGATCCAAGAGCACCGAATGGAAACTGAAAAACTCAAAGAGGAACACCTTAAAGTGTTAAACGGCGTCCTGGAAAGGGCAAAGAGAAGGAGTTTAAGAGACGAAGATGGTCTGGGTAAAGGAGAAATTCAACTCCTGAAGGAAAGGTGAGCAACGTCCATTCCTCCCTGTTATAGCCTCTATAAATTCATTTTATCATTTTTTAGAGACTCCCTCAAGCGCCAAGTTACGTCGTTGCGCAACCTCTTGGGCGAACTGGTGAAATATTTTACGCAATGCGAGGACGAACTCAACAACACTCTGGTGGACGAGTTGTTGAAATGCGGTTTCGATAAGAATTTGTCGCAGACGACCGAGGACGAATTGAATTTGACCAATTCGAGTTCGTCCAAAAATAGTGATAGCGCTTTGATCGTCACTCGCGTCCATCTGATACCAAACGTCACCGATTTGATTAACATTATCGAAAGCAGTTCGACCGAAGATGGGGATTCTAAGGATATATCGATGGGTAAGTGTTTTGATAACGTCCAAACATTAAAAAAAAAATTAAGTACATCCTACTTAGATCACACGAATTTTTCTATATTTATTTTTACTTCTCTATTTTCTATGTACCTATTTGTTTTTCTGATTTTTTTTATTTTTTCTAAAAATTTTAAAAGTTACATATCGCTTTTGGAAATATGATCGGATTATATATACCATTTTTTAAATTCAAAATTTATTGGTTTCTTATCTTATTTCATTCATATTTTTTTATTTTTCTATTTTTGGGGATTCTAAAGATATATCGATAGGTGTTTTAAAAACGTCCAAAAATTAAAAAAAAAAAAATGTTTAGTTACATCCTATTTAGATCACGAATTTTTTTGACTTTTATGTTTTATTTTTTCCCGATTTATTCTGATTTTTTTTATTTTTCTAAAAATTTTAAAAGTTACAAATTGTTTTTGGAAATTTGATGGAATTATTTATGTATACCATTTTTTATTCCAAATTTATTGGTTTCTTATCTTATTTCTTTCCTTTTTTTTTTTGAGGATTCTAAGGAACTTGGCGTCCAAATTTGTAGGGGTGGTAGTTTGCATAATTTGAGACCGATTCGCAGATTTCATTTTTCCAAAATATTTAAAATAAAAATAATTAAAAATTTTAAACATGCCGGGCGGAGGGAGAAATTTGCAAATCGCATCTGTTTTTGAGTTGTAAATCCCGATGAGTAACCGATCAGGCGACTATTGCGCTACGCGCTCAGGGTAGGACCCGCTTTTTAATTTTTTTACCCTTTTTTATAATGGCTCTATTTTGTTTATTATAATTTTTTTAGAAAAATGAAATCTGCCAATCGCTCTCAAATTATGCGAATTACCATCCCTACAAATTTGGACGCCAAGTTCGGAAACACCCTGTATATCAATGGGCGAGTGTTTTAAAAATGTCCAAAAATAGAAAAAATTTTAGTTATTCCACACGAATTTTTCTATATTTTTTTTTATTTTCTTTTTTCTATTTTTTATATGTATTTATATTTTTTTTTTTATTTTTGTTTTTCTGTTATTTTCTTTTTTCTATTTTTTATATGTATTTATATATTTTTTTTATATTTCTGATTTTTTATTTGTTTTTATTTTGTTTTTGTGCTTTTTATTTTTTTATATGTATTTGGGTCATTCTCAGTTGAGACGTAAATCGCTTATTGATAAAACGCGGCACGACAAAAATTTTGAAATTGAAATCAAATTTTACAATGGTTCGATCAAAACAATCATTTCAAACGTGCCTGCAAGACGGTCAGTCAATTTATTGATTTTATCTCGTTTTATAAGATGCCAGGGGAGATACTCATCCAGGGGAGAGACTTAATGTACAGAGTAGAATACTTTGTGATTAGAGAAAGGATTTTAACATTATTTTATGAAAGAAAACAACATTTTATTGAAGTATTAACTTTATTCAGTCATTTTATAATTTTATTTATCAATAATTAATTGATAATAATTAGTCTTTAAAGTTTTCATATCTCCCCTGGATATCGTGTCTTTCCCCTGGCCCTTACAAGACAGGGGAGATATAAACAGGGGAGATACTTTTTAGTAACAAAAATAGAAATAATGACAAATGTATTTATTGTATGAAATTAACCAAGAAAAGTTAGAATCTATACACAACGAGAAGTAAATTTACGAATGAATTAAAATTTTTAGATGAATATTTTAAAAATAAAACTTACCAGGGGAGAGACTCCGTTCACTCGTTGTCAACTGTATGCACAGAGTGCCAGTAACGAAATAAATGACTAAATGACTGCGCACCTAGTTCGAGTGGCTCTGATTACAAACTATACACTCAACAACGTTCGCTCAAGGTCTTCAATTCCCGCAAGTCAGTAAACAAATGCCTATTTTACACAAAAATAAGCGTGCCAGGGGACGAGACGCAAAATACGGGGGACAAACGTAAACGTAATTTTTTTTTAAGAAAGAAAAAAATCACGCAATTTTACTTTCTTGATTACGATAATTTATTTAAATTATTTTGTTGAAATGTATAATTTAAATAAGTTATTTGATTTTCAAGTACTTAAAATTACAAATAAATAAACAGAATCGGCCCGGGGACAAGCCAGGGGAGAGATGTTTTCCGACTTTGAGGTGAAATTGTGACTAAATTAAATAAAATTAAGAAATTAATTTGAGTGACCAATTATATGAGCACGAGTTTTAAGAGAAAATAACATTCTTTTTAATAAAATTTTTTAAAAAAGGTGATTTTTTGTTATGGACGTCGAATTTACGGCTTAACTGAGAATGACCCATTTATATTTTTTCTGATTTTTTTATTTTTACTAATTTTTTATTTTCAGTGATTTTTTTAATTTTATTTTTTTCGGATTTTTTTCTAATTTTATTCCGATTTTGCTGATTGTTCTACAAAATGGACAAAATAACATATCATTTTTGGAAATTTGATCGTAATTATTTGTATATATACATATATATTAACCGGTTCGACTGATTTTGACCGGTTTCGGTTTTAACCGAATTTTTACTATTATTATAACCATCCGGTTAACCGTTCCGATTATTCGGTTAATCGGTCCGATCAAACCGAGCCGGTCGAACCGGACCGTTAGACCGAATTTGGTGGTTTAACCATAACCGTGACCAGTTAACCCCTTCACTGGTTTAGCCGTTACTCGTTTAACTGTAACCATCACCGGCTTAATCGTGGAAAAACACATCCACCAATCCTTTGTTTTCAATAGAAATGGGGTCACTTTACTAACCATTTCACCTTTCCTTACCCGTGACAACCAGACAGTGCATGCTTGATTTTTTTAAAATAGGCACTAGATAAAAATTAAATTAGAATAATAAAAATACTACCAATTTTACTTTTTCTAAACTTTATTTAAAATTTAAAAAAGGACACAGTCACTCACTTCCCACTGGGTGGGTAAGTAGGTAAAACTAAAAAGCAAAAACTATATTCAAGTAAAAAAAAAACATTCAAAAATAAATTATAATTAATTGGGACATAAAATAAATAATAACAAATACCAATAACAAAACTGCCTATTTTTTTTTATTGAGTTTTGATCCAAAAAAATCAACTTATCAACGTTTTTCGGCATCAAGCAGTTTCTTTTCGCCGAAACTATGTTTCCTGCACTGAAAAACACCGTTCACTGGAAGTTGATGTGGCTGGTACACATAAATATTTTTTTGCCAGCACAGACAACGGGTATTTATTCTCGTTGTTTTTCCACCAAGTTAATGGATTTTGATCATTTAAAGAGTAATAAGTTATTACTCTTATAGTTACTAGTTACAGTTACATATTACTTGTATGTGGGTAGCTAGTTATGGTTATAGGTTATAGGGGTAGGTACCTATATTATTGTAAATATACAAATTATAACAACTTACCTACCTTACAAAACTATCTATCACGACTTTCCCCTAAGGGCTCCTGGGAAAACTTGTTTTTTTTTTCTTAGGTGGCTCCAAAGAGTACTAGTACTTCGAGAATATTTGAAATATTTTTTGCAAGTGTTGCAAATTGCGTTTTGCTTTTGAATCGTTTTTAGTGTAATAGTTGATTGACATTTTAAACAATAGCAAGTAAGTATTTTTAATTTTTAATTTTAACTGTAACTTGGGTGTAGCACTATCGAAGACTTTCTAATCCTAATAGAACTGACTTAAAAATATGGACCAGGACCAGGAAGCTCTTCTTCTCCCTCTGGTATCGAGACGCATAACAAAGAGCGAAGGATGCGCTCGATACGTCATGTTTGAAAAACATCGATATTTGGCTTTCGACGCGACGTTCGGTGTTTCAATTTTCGTCGGTTTTATTTTTCTAATAACATCGATGTTTTATTCAATATTTTCCATTACTCAGCATATTGTATCTTTATTTAAATCGGTCACAATTAAAAAAAAACAAATTTTTATCGTACAAATGCGCCCTCTAATAGTCAATCTTAAAGTTAATTTGAAGCATATTTTGGATAACTGTGATGTAAATTTAATAAAAAAATATTAATTTTCTTAGTTTTGCTTTGTTTTATTATTACATTTGGAATGTTTATATTTGTTTGTATTTTTTTATAAAATAAATACATCACATTTTGTTTTACTTACTTTTAAATGTATATGTTTTAAAAACAACGAAGTTTATAAATATCGTTTTTTTCACTTCGGTCATTTTAATGCCATCGATACTTTATTCTTCGATGTCAGTATCGACATTTTAAGAAATATGCGCATCCCTACTAAGAGCTTAAACTTGTTCGTTTATATTCACGGTCTCGGTAAAACCGGTTTTGGGTACGGTTAAACCAGTTACGGCTCAACAAGTGATCGGTTTAACCGGTTCGATTAGAGTTACACCGGTTTCGGTTAATACGGTTACCGGTTACGGTTAAACCGGTAACGTTCTTTAACGGTTTTTGGTCCTACGGAACCGGTTAACCGGTCACGGTTACCAGCCTTAATATATACCATTTTTAAATTCAAAATTAATTGGTTTTTTATCTTATTTCTATCCTATTTTTTTGTTTTTTGCTTTTTCTAATTTTGTTTTTTTTTTATTTATCTCCTCTTTTTTCTTTGCTTTTTTTTTCTTTTTTAATTCCTATTTTTTACATACGCTCCTGTGGTCTAGAGGTTGGGACGCCGCTTTGGCATACAACGTAATTTTATAACTTTCCAGATTTGAAAAACGAACTGGAAGTATGCTTGGAAAAGCTAAAACAAGAGGCTAACGCCGTACTGACGCTGACCAACAACGTCAGACATCCAGGCGAATGTAACGAAACGAAAAATTCACATCTAGAGGAACAGCTAAATTCCCTGGCGAGAAAACTCGTGACCGAAACTCAAGCCAAAGATGAATTAAAAACGAGACTGGATGAAATCCAAGTAAGGATTTTCTATAACTTGTTTTACCCTTTTAGGCATCCCTCCTCTCTGCTCCCCCAATCAGGCATCCCTCCTCTCTGCTCCACCAATTAGGCTTCCCTCCTCTCTGCTCCCCCAATCAGGCTTGGATCCAGCCACTGATATTTCCTTCTTTGGGGTTCTCATGGTGGGCACTACAGCTTCAATGGCTTAATGTATTACCATTTGGATGTCCTACTCCTTCGCATTCATTCAACTCATACATGACTTATGTGATAGAGTTTGAATGTATGACATTTGTATCATTGTAGATGTACGTAGAAAGTTTGGAGAAGGAAAAGGAACGATTGGATGCCGAGTTGGAGGTGGTAGTGGCCAAAGAGAACGCTTTGGAGGACGATCTGTCGACTGCCAGAAGCCAGATTGCTGAGTTTTTAGAAAGCGGTCGTAAAGAGATAGTGTCAGAGGATTACGGCGAGCAGGGATTGCAGATGCAGAGTTTGGGTAAGTTTTTTTTTTATTTCATCTTTATTTACAAGGTTTTTACAACTTTATTTAACTGTTATTTATCTAATCAGTTTCCAGTTTTTACATTCCAATTTTCAAGTTATTTACATTGCCGTTACCGGGTTTTTACATAGGCAGTTACCGAGGGTTTTTACATACCCAACAACCTGGTCTTTAGATTATTTTAAAATTCATGGATTTCCAATTAATCGATTATTTTCAATTAACCCATTATTTTCAATTAATCGATTATATTCAGTTATCTCATTATTTTCAATTAATAAACTAATGGATTATTTTCAATTAACCGATTATTCAATTAAACGATTAATCTAAAATATTCGATTAATCGATTGTTTTCGACTATTTTCCATTAATAAGTTATTTTCAAATAATCGATTATTTAGAAAATCGATTATTTTTTATTAATAATTAAATTGATTATTTCCGAATCAGATAATCAATTATTAGATTAATCAATTTGTGGATATCATTTAATCGATATTTTATTTTTACATTCAATCGTTATTAATTAAATTTGAGCATCATTTTTAAAGAAAGTTGTTGCCCACAACACATTTTTTATAAGACTTTCGTTACAAGGTATTTATCTCCGCAATTAGCAGGTTTTTATCTCCACAATTAACAGGTTTCTATCTCTTTAGTTTCCAGGTGTCACAACTCAATTAAAATTTTTACATACGGAGTTACCAGATTTTACAATTTCCTGTTAATGTTTTTGACGATACCAGTTACCATGTTTTATAATCTAAGATACGAAGTAAGGTCGACCTTCACCCATCTGCCTACCGAATGAAAGTTTTTTTTTTATTAAGTAAAATATTTTTATAAATATGCCGCAAATGGGTTGACTATGAAAATACTGTTTTCTTTAAGTAAAAAACGACAACTTGTAAAGTATTCTCCAGATGCTTCGAATATGTCCGAAATTTAATCAGCACACCGCAGGATCGATTAAAGCTTCAGTTTAAAATTTGGTGTTTTTCTCTTTATCCGTTTTTGAGTTACCTTCAAAATTCGAAATTTGCGCTTTTTCTCAAATATTTCCAATACGGTCCATTTTACGGAATTAATGTATAGGACTAAAATTATAGAGAATGACAGCACACACAAATTTTATCATGATTCCTATACTTTTCTTATCTGTATACAGAAAAGAAAGTAAAAAATAACTGTGACAGTATTTTTTAGGCAACCCAGTTGCGGTATATGTATTTATTAACATATTTTATTTAATAAAAAATAATTTTCATCCGGTAAGCAGATGGGCGAAGGCCGTCCTTACTTCGTATCCGGTACTATTATATGGTTCAAAATAACTAATTTTACGAATATACTAAACATATATCTCCAGATATTTTCAATTTACCAGTTTTTATGTCTCTCTGTTCATTAGATTTTAACTCCCTAGTTACCGGTTTCATTTTCGAATTTTAAACGGCCTCAAATAGCAGGTTTTACCGTGTCAGTTTACCAGGTTTTTACATATCCGGTATTGCCTCCAATTACCGAATATTTACGGTTCCAAGTAAAATCTGAATTTTCACATTTGTATGTCTGCAGTTACCAACTTTTTATTTTTGGAGACTCTGTATATACAAGTAAATTTGCCATTGATCCTTGAAATTACATTTAAAAAATTCAATGTATTCATTAATGTTTTTGCATAAAGCAAACAATAGTTCTAAAAATAGTTCATAAACCATGTATTAAACTAAGACATATTTTTAACTGAACCAGGTGAGTGTTATTATTTAAAAATTAGTTTGTTTTTCTACACCCGTATTATAATAATGCACTTATATGCCCATAATCCGTTTCATAATGATACCCATTATGATACAGATTTTTCATTACGATACAGATTTTTAATCAATAGAAACCTACAATTTTTCAATCAAGCATGCTGTTTGACGTTTGTCCTAGGTTCCTATGTAATTATTTTAGTTGTCAAAACGTATTAAATTTTCGTAGGTAGCTAAACTTCGATAATTATAATATTAAAATGTCTGATATTAGCGATATAGAAGACTCCTCCACACATATCGGAGAAAGCAGAAAATACAGTACAAAATATTTTACCGCAAAAATCTAGGGAAATACCAATACCTGAAGTAATACCATTAATTACAATTTTGTAGAATTTTTTATAGAAATACGAGTAATTACTGTTATTGTGTTCAATACCAATATAAATATAATATTTATAGGTCTTGATTATTTATCGGGTGTAGAAAAAATAGCGTATGCAACTCTCATGTAATGGTTATTAAAACACTCGCATAAACCATACGAAACTCGCCTTTGGCTCGTTTCGTATCCCGGTTAATGCTCGTGTATTAATAACCATCATTACATGATCGTTGCATAATATACTATTATGGGGTCAGTGGTTCCTTTACTTTCTAGAAAATGTTACTAAAAACGCTCCTGCTTCTGTTATGCTACATCCATGGGCTGAATTTCGAATGTACTTTATCGAACGAGGTGTTTTCCTGTCAAAACACCAACATCATTGACCTCTACAAGGAGTATTTTCGAGATAAATGGGCGAAAAGTTTATCTTCGATACTGGAAATCAAAATTTTGAATTCCAACATACCCAAAATCGATTATCTATACAAATTACCCCAATTGGGTTATATAGAATCGTTGGAATTTAGAAACTGTCAACTGACAGACGTCAACAGTAAAGCCTTCTACGATTTCAAACACTTGAAGACGCTGAATTTGAAGCACAATCTATTGGAGACTGTTTCTTTCGTTAATTATCTATCTGAGACACTGGAGAGGTTAATTTTGAGTAATAACAAAATCGTTTACGTCGATACGAACTTCAGCAAATGGAAGAATCTAAAACTGCTCGATTTGAGCTTCAATCGTTTAACCGTTTTGGATTTCCATGCCATCAAAGGTGTACCAGAAATAAATTTTGGATACAACGACATAAAATCTGTAGTTCCCTATCAGAATCGATATTTATCCGAATTGGATTTCGTCAAATTAAACGTGAGCGGCAATAAATTGAGCGCATACGACGAACATCAATTTTTTGTCATAATCGATTGGCTGGATTTGAGTTACAACAATTTGAAAATCAACATGAAGTATTCGAAGAACTACTTGAATTTGGCTTACTGCCAAATCATTACGTTCTCGGAGAAAATCAGCGTCAAATTCGCCGATTTGACGGCCGTCGATGGTATCGAGAAATTGAAATTGATTTCTGATCATTTAATCTTGAAGGACAATCGATTGGGCGATTTGGACGATTTCAAAATCGATATTAGAGATTTTTATGATACCGCCATACGTCATTTAGATTTATCGAATTGTTCGATCACTTCAATACCGGGGGAGTATTTTATTAACATCGTCGATTGTTCTGTATTAAAATTGAGTTTAAATAATTTAAATTTGATCAAAAAACATACTTTTAAAAACTCGAATATCGCCGTTTTGGATTTATCTCGGTCCGATATCAAAATTTTGGAAATGTCCAGCTTTAAAGACAGTAATTTTAATAGTTTAAAATTGGATAATAATAGAATATCGATTTTGATCAAAGCTTTCGATAACGTATCGGCTTATGAAATCGATTTATCGTACAATTCGATTAGACGTTTGACAGTCGCCGCATTCGAACGCTTACGCGATGTCAGATTATTGAATTTATCGCACTGTTTAATAAAGAATATCGATTTTGAATCGCTTAAACCGCTAAATCGATTGGAATATTTAGATCTAAGTTATAATAGTATTGCGGTTCTAGACAGTAACGTATTCAACGCTTTACCAGTTAGGAATTTGATGTTGAAGGGTAATAAAATTACCAGTATAAAATCCTATGCTTTCAGCAATCTATACAACGTATTAGAATTGGATTTATCTGGATTGGCAATTGAAAATATCGCTAATAACGCTTTTTACAACCTGTCGAATGTACGTAAAATAAATCTGTCGAACAACAATTTGCAAACGGTACTCGCGAATTTATTTATCGAAACTCCGGGTTTAAATAGCTTAGATTTTTCTGGGAATCCCATAAAATCGTTGAATAAATTCTCAAATAAACTGAACATTACCGAATTAACATTGAGTTTCGCTGGTTGCATCGAATCCGATCGAATATCTAATTTCCACGTCAAAATACTGACAGTAAAAGATTCCCGTATCGACGTAATAAAAAACGGAAGTTTTAAAGGTTTGTACGGTTTAACACATATCTATTTCAACGAATCAATTATAAAAAGTATCGAGAGCGACGCTTTGATTGAGTTATTTAATTTGGAATATTTAGACGCGCAGAATCTGTTCAACACTATCGAAATATTGAACGAGGGGGTATTTCGAGACATCAACAATATAAGAGCGTTGGATTTGAGCGGTACCGATTTAAATTCGATCGATTCTAAATCATTTATCGGTTTGTATCGGGTCGAAACTTTGCAGTTGAATCGAAATGATATCGATGAAATCGCTAGCGGTACTTTCGATGATTTACATAGTTTGGAATTATTGAATTTGAGTAGTAATAGGATTAGGAAGTTGAATCCTGGATGTTTTTCGGGTTTAGATAGTTTAAAAGTACTGTTATTGGCCGATAATCGATTGGATAACATTGAAACGAACGTTTTCGTAAATTTAAACGATTTACAAGTGTTGGATTTGCAGAAAAACTACTTAAAAAACTTGGAAAACGATCGTTTCAAAGGTGTTCCGAATCTTTTAGAATTGCATTTGGCTAAAAATAAATTAGAAACTTTAAAGAACGGCGTTTTTCAGTACCTACCGGAATTACGATTGCTAAATTTACGTGATAACAATTTAGGAATCTTCGGTTCTCCACAGCATTTATTTAAGTTCGGCGTATTGTCTAACCTCAAAAATTTGGAAGTTTTGGATCTGACGTACAATCGTTTCACCACTCTAAACGTCAAAAGTACGTTTATGTCATTGAAACGATTGAGGGAGATATATTTGGATCATAACGATTTGAAAAATTTAGATTTCGAAGGATTGTTGAAGAATTGTAGGGATATGGAGTTTGTAGGAATTTCTTTTAATAAATGGCATTGCGATTATTTGGGCGATGTCATCGAATTGTTGTATAATAAGAGCGTTAATTATGCACCGGATTATCCGATGTTCGAATACGATAATATTGAAGGCATAAACTGTACAGACGTTTGCAAATATGTGTGGTGTGAAGGACATGATATAGGCATTGTTCAATTGCAATAAATTGTTTATACACGTAAAAAATTCGTTTTATTTCATTATACACGATGATTTATTAATATTGAATTTTAGTTCTGATATGTTGGATCAAAATATGAAAAATAAAATCCAATAAATGTATGTCCGAAAACTTTTCGTTAAAGTTTATTTTAAAATACTTAAAAACGCTTTGATCAATTTTAATAAAATGACATTTTAACGAGATATATTTTGGACCTATTACAGTTGATCCAGTTATTCCAGAGGCGTTCTATAGAATTTGATGAACTGGAACATTGTTTATAGAAAATTAATAAAACTGGTATATGATTTACAAAAATCATAAACCGGCATATAGTTTATAGAAAATATTGTGCACCAATTTATTATAAATCATACAGCAAATTTTAAACTGGCATATGGTTTATAGAAGATATTGAACACTAGTTTGTGAGAAATCTTACAGGACATTTTAAACTTTCTCACGATCTGCAGAATTTAATGAACATGGTTTATATTAAATAATGAACTGAAGCATAGTTAATAGAAAATAAATAATGCAACAGGCATAAGGTTTACAAAAAGTCATGAACCAGCATATAGTTCATAACAAATATTTTATAGAAAATTAATAAAGTCATAAGTTTAATACAAAATCAAAAACTGGCATATACTTAATAAAAAATACCGTACATCTATTTATTGTAAATTATGCAGCAAATTTTAAATTGGCACGTGGTTTATAAAAACTATTTTACACTATTTTATAGAAAATCATACAGTAAACTTTGTCACGATCTGCAGAATTTAATGAACTGGCACATGGTTCATATTAATAATAAACTGGCACAGAGTATATAAAAAATAATTAGTAAAACAGGCTTATGAGATACAAAATGTTATAAACCTGCATAATATATAATATATATCATACAGCAAATTTTAAACTAGTTCATGTTTTATAGAAAATTAATAAAATCATTATGGTTTATAAAAAGTCAATAACCGGCATATAGTTTATATAAAACATTGTACACCCGTTTATGGTAAATCATACAGCAAATTTTAAACTGGTACATGGTTTATAGAAAATATTGTACATTAGTTTATGGAAAATCATGCAGCAATTTTTTTAATTTTCTCACGATCTGCAGAATTTATGATTTGACGCATGGTTTGTATTAAATAAAAAACTGTATACAAAAAGTCATGATTTAAATTTGGAAAATATATACTCAGAACGACAAAAAACTGCATTTAGTTTAAGGAAAATATTATACTCCAGTTAATGATAAATCATACAGCACAAGGTTTACAATAGTTATAAACCAACACATAATTTATAGAAAATGTAAATATTCGACACCGCAGTTTATCGCACACCAAATTTTTGTGAATTTTCTGGCGATCTGCATAATTTAATCAATTGGCCTATAGTTTATAGAAAAAATAAACTGGAACATGGTTTAATGAACAAATAAGCACATGAATTACGAAAAGTTATAAATCGGCACATGATTTACGAAAAGTCATAAATTGGCACATAGTTCTTAAAAAATATTTCTGTTCTAACACCAGTTTATCGTTTAGAAAAAAAATGTAAACTTTCTCACGATGCGATCTGCATAATTTAATGAACTGGAAGATGCTTTATTAAACAAATGATCGGCACATGATTTACAAAAAGTTAAACTGGCACATAGTTTTTAAAAACATATTTGTATTTTAACTTCTAACACTAGTTTATCGCGCAGCAAAAATTGTAAACTTTTTCATACTTTAATGAACATGGTTTAAAAATAATAAATAGGTTATAATTTAAAAATGAGTAGGTGGTCGACCCCTACGACATCAAAGGAGCTGACCCAAACTGTCGCTAACTTAGATAAACAAATGAAAAATATAGATAAGTAAGCGCCGATTTCACCGTTGTATTAAATGAAGTTTAAATTAATAAAGTTTCCAAAGTTTGTTTTTATAATAAATAGTAAGTTACAATTTTTAAATCATCGTCTGTTGAATTACCTAAACTGAGTGAAAAGGAGAAAGATTTTTTAGAAACTTATTTTTATTCTATGCTACAAATTAATGTCCACAGGTAATGTAAACATGAACATTTAATAGATGAACTTTTTTATTCTTTCCCTGGAATATTCACCAGATGGAGTTGACATGGAAGTTGGTAAAAATAAAGTACCCTTTTAATAGCTATTTATCACGTAACGAAATTCCGTTTTGTGTAACTCGTTCATTTTGCGGGACCTCGCTCCGCTCGTCCCGCAAATATTTACTCGTTACACAAAATAAGGCATTTGGTAACATACAATATTTTTTCTAATTTTGACTTGCTTATTTATAAAATTGTGTTTGATAAAAAATGATTCACCATCATTCTTTTGTAGGTACTTCCAATCAAATATTTCAGAAAATTGTTGTATTTGAGATGAAATGTCACATTTATTTATAATTTACATTATTTAAAATAGTTATTTAAAATATTTTTTAAAAGAAAATAGTAATATGTTCTTTCGGTCACTTCAATGATAAAATTATTTCCTGTATATGTAGCTAACTTCATTACATAGGTAAATTTAAATTTTTATTCAATAGGGTTGGTTTAAATAAATGTTAAATAAATATTTATTTAATTAGTTGTATTTTGTACCTAAGTGACCTACGCAGGGGCGTGCGGTCCATGGAAGCGGAGGAAGCACCGCTTCCCTACACTTTGAGATTTAAAAATAAATATTTTTCCATTTACAATGCATAGAAATTAATATTAAATTAGGTACTATATTTTCTCTGAAACATTACGTAAACTTCGTAAATATAATAACAATTCATTGGTGTAATGTGTAAACGCACGCACCACCCATGAGAAAATTAATTGTGTAAACGCACTTCGAGTCCGTCGGCGGAAGCGCGTCTTGAAAAAGCCGGCTCATCTTCCAATTTATTTCGCTTCGTGTTATTGACCCTGCGTTGCCGCGACAGTGTAGTCAATCTGTTTGTACACGTGAAATACGGTCGAGAGGCAGCGATTGTTACGTCGCCTTACGCATATTGCAATTCGCACTGCGAATCGACGTGTGAGGAAAATCGTACACTTCAGGGTTAGATGTCGGTTTGTTTTTCGTAGTTGTTTTTCTTTTTGTAAAATGGAGGAACTATGCACTGTGCCTGTGAACAATAATAATGTAGTAAATTGCGTCTGTATTGTGTGCTCTTTATTGAAATTAGGATTTTCAAGTAGAAATTTTGAAGAGAAAACGGACATTATTAATTCTAGTAGACTAAAGGATCCTATCAATTTAGAGACGAAAGTAGAAAAGTCAGCAAAGAAATTTACCAGGCATTTTCACGTAGGGTTCTATGAAAAGTATGAATGGTTAACCGGCTGCAAAACTTTGAAGAAATTGTTTTGCTGGCCTTGCCTACTTTTTAATATAGCCGAAAAAACACATTAGAACTCAGTCGGTATTACAGACTTGAATAATTTTCACAAAAATGTAAAACGACATGTAAATAGCAAATCTCATATAAGTGCTACAATTAAAGAAAAAACATTCGGGACCTATCGCATTGAACATAGTTTGGAAAATCATTTAAAAATAAGCAACAAAATTCACAATGAAAGGGTAAAAAAAATAGGGACGTCTTACAACTATTAATAGATGTAACTTGTTTCCTGGGAGAGCATGAACTAAGTTTTAGGGGTCACAATGAAGCAAGTGGATCCGCTAATCGAGGAAATTACATGTACCTTCTAAGTTTTTTAGCAAAATATGATGATACCCTAAAAAATCATTTTATTGATTCAACGACTTTCAGAGATACCTCAAACAGAATCCAAAATGATTTAATTAAATGCACTGTCGACGTTGTGATGGATCACATTAAAAGTGAAATTAAAAAAGCACCTTTCGTATCAATTGCGCTTGATGAAACCACAGATGTAGCAAACTTAAGTCAATTATTCATTGTTGTGCGATATGTATTGGATGGCATTCCTCAAAAGCGATTCTTAGGATTTTTGGACGTCACTAGCGAACGAACTTCAGATGCATTGTTTAAAATTGTTTGTGACATTATTTCAAGTTTTGAATGTGGTTCTAAGCTTGTTGCCCAGAGCTACGATGGTGCTGCCGTAATGGCTGGACATTTAGGAGGCCTTCAAGCTAAAGTGTGAAGAGAAGTTTAAACATGCAATTTTTGTTCACTGTATAGCACATAGACTTAATTTGTTTTTATCGCGAAGCATGGATAATATTAAAGATTGCAAAGTTTTCTTTTCGACGCTTAGTGGTTTGGTTTCCTTCTTTTCAAAGTCATCGAAAAGAACTCGCGCTTTGGACATTCACGTTCAAAAAAGGTTTCCAAAAGTTGCTCCGACGCGATGGAACTACAATGGACGTTTAGTGCAAACAGTGTTTCAATACCGTGATTCTTTGATACACTTTTTTCAAGACGTTTGGGATAATAAAGAAACATGGGATGCTGAAACTGTTAATGCCGCTAAAGGGTATTTGCATTAGCTCAAACAAAACTTTGATTTCAATTTTTTGCTCAACATTTTTGCAGAGATTTTCCCTTTTACTGACATTTTATTCGACATTTTACAGGCAAAGTCAAATAACATTGGCTTTTGCATTAAACAAATTGATGATTTTAAAAATAAAATGAATAGAAAACGAGATCAGTTTGAACACTTTTGGAATAAGACTCAAAACATTGGCTTAGAACCTGAAAGAAAGAGAATTTGAATTGATAATGTCGGCGACAGAGAGACCTCCTATCGTCGATTATACGCCGAAATTTTTGATAATATTTTACAACAAATGAACTCTCAATTTCAAAACTTTAACGAATTAAAATTTGTTGAATTGTGCAATTTTAATATTAGTAACTACGATTCATCAAAATTTCCATCGGAAGCTTTTAATTCAATAAAATTAAATTATGGACATTTTTTCGATATTCCAGCATTAAAGTCCCAGTTAAGTGTTGTTTATGAAACAACTGAAATTAGTGATAGAAAGACGCCCATTAATGTGTTAAATTTTCTTGTAACAACTGGTTTAAATAAGTCCCTTTGTGAAGTCGTCAAGTTGTGTGAATTAGTACTAACCATCCCAGCCACAAGTGCGTCAGTTGAGCGAAGTTTTTCAGCTTTAAAGCGTATTAAAAGTTTTATACGAAATTCAACAAGTGAAGACAGACTCTCTAATTTAGCTCTAATATCCATTGAAAAATAGCTTGTTAAACAGTTAGCAGAAAATTCAAAATTTTACGACGATGTTATAGACAAATTTGCAGCCATTGAGGATAGGCGAATAGATCTTAAGTATAAATAAATGTCAACTGTGCAAAAATGCTGGAAAAAATAAAAAAACTTCAGTTAAATGTTTTTTTACGTTTAAATAAACCAAGGAATCTTTTCAATGGTAAGTTTTTTTATAGCTTCTAGTACTAAACTAGGTAATAAAGTAATAGTAACACTTCAAAAATATTAATCTCGAATATCCGTAGTACTGAAGAAAAAAAGCAAGATTTTGACAAGATGGTGAATGCGCCTCGCTGTGCTTTCTGGCCTGCTGTATTTTTATACAATCGCTTCCCCTTCCAAAAATGTCACGGCACGCCACTGGACCTACGGCTCCAAATTCTTGCGTTAATATTAATATTAAAAACACAATTATTATAAATATTTGTGGGCTAGCTTGAATTGGTGGTTTGAATCTGGGTACTTTCTGTTTTATTTTGCATTGTGCTCTAATCATGATTAAACTTGCTAGTACTTGATGAAATTCTCCTCATGGATTCAATCATCTGATGATGATGATGATGTTCAACGTTCAATTGTAAGTAAGGTTTGATTGACTGACTTATTACTGTGTCCAGTAATTTTAATGAACTGTTGATCACCAACTCCTGCCTTGGCCAAATTCTAAACAGCTGTTGCTCTTGCAGAATGACTGGTTATTTTAACTTTTTTAGTGTCAATTCCTATATCAGAGGATGCTGATTTAAACCATGAAGATACAATGTTCTTACCAACTGGGCTATTCTTGTACCATCCTTTCGAATTCGGTTGACTCCAGTATCGATTTGGTGTTAAGAATAATCTGTCGGTCTGAATAAGATTTCCCCTTTTTTCCATCAACTTCTTAAACAAACGAACCGCTCTTGGCGAATACTAATAAAATTTCCACACTTGAAAAGACCTACCTTTCCTTCGTTTTTTTTTATCAATCTGTGTAGATACACCTACAAACCTTTGATTTATTTTGTAAATGATTAAAGTGGTATAAGTTAATTTGAATCTACTGAAAACAATCCTCTGCGTAAACATATATATTAAAATGTTTAATACAACACTTATTCATATAGGTAATTAAGGTTTACAGATTCAACATTTTTCTACCTACCCTTTTCATCAATTTGCCAAGTTATAAGAACCACATTTTATTGCAATTAGGAGATCCCTCCATGTGAGATTGTTTAGGACTGGTAACAAAATAAGCATGTATTTTTTTAAAATCTATTTGAACAATATTTACAAATTTGCACGAAAGAATACACACTATTTTCCTTGTTTAATTATTGTTGTCTCGTATACCATAAAAATAATGAAAAATAGTAATGTCCTTATTTTGTTTTGATGAAATATATGGGTGGTTATTTATTACAGGTATGTGATAGTATTTTTCTTTTCGTTGTGTTCACTTTTCATTTCGTTTGTTACATAGAGTATGATTAGTAGACATTAATAAATTAACATTATTTAAAAAAAATTGGATATAGACGTATTTTTTACTTGATAAAGATAAGATAAAGAGTTCGCAGTCATTATTTGTTTTCATTTGCAGTACCTCACCTTCGACCGATCTCTGGTGGATTTTTTAGTACTATGCACTGTTTGATGTCATATTTTAAAGAGTTGAAACACCTGTAAAATGTGTCATTCATCGTGGTTCAAACGCAAATAAAAATTAAATTACAAAAATGACACTAGAAAGATACCCTATAAAATTGACAATTTGCACTCATAATAATACGGTCGTTTATTTGAAACCGAGAAGTGATGACGTCACAATAGTGCACTGAATCAAATCAAATAAAAGCGAGTAAAAAACATAACATCGCTTTTTTTTCTGTGATTTTTGTTTCTGGTTTGTGTGTCAAAACAGTGAACAAAAAGTGAAGAAAATTGAAAAACTTTTAATAACTGAGCAATGGCCCTGAAATGCAGCATATATATGTCACAAATGCCCGCCTCGCTTTCAGACTGTGATTTCTGCTGATTAGATCTAAGCATATAAAATGTATTTTTCTACGATCATTATCCAATGCGCTTCGAAATTGAACCGCAAAGTTGACGTTTTCCGCGAACTGACATTAAGTGACAGCTTTGTCGTTTGCCGAGCGAAAAACTTGACAGGTTTGTCCTTTGTTGCTCGCCTAATTTAAATTAGATATATTTCTTTTTAATAAATCATTTTGAAGTTATTTGTACCTAGTTTGATGTTTTTTCTTTTATTATCCAAGTTAACATTGACTTTGAATATCAACTCCTCTTTTCATGAATAATGTAGGTATAGGCAACACATTATACACTACTTATGAAAAATTTTCAGTTTTTATATCTATTTCTTAAAATAATGTGAACGTTGAAAAAAATGTGTGTGCATTTTGAGCGAAAATTTCGTTGCCGCTTTCGACAAATTGCCGCGCTGCGCGGCAACTTTTTGTCTCAGGCGGCAAAGTATCACTTTTCGCTCTATACACAAATAGCTATTTCGAAACATACATGTATTTTTTTATGATGAATAATTCTAGCTATAAGACAAAAGCGGCTAAGTAATTTGTTGACTTCTTGTCTGCTCTGGAATTTTGAGATTATAGTTTGTTTATAAGTAAATTAAAAAGAGAGGTAGAGACAAAGACAAATTTCTCCCTCTTCTCGATCCTTCTGCTCTGAGAACATCGAGCTCGCTCTATATTCTCGCTCCAAAGCGAAACAAAAACTTTTGGGATCGCTCGAAATGTCAATTCAAACACGTTTTGCAGGGCTCGGAGATCTCCGATGATCAAATCAAACGCACCCAATGGCGAACTAATCCCTCTTTGAGCTTACTCATGTTTATCTCATGTCGAATCCTCAGTTTGCCTCAATACTTCAAACAAATCCTGTTACTTATTTATTAGGCATTCCAACGACCTGTCAAACAATAGGTGCCAGTGGGAAATTCTTGTATATGTAAGGGGGTAGCGACATAGTCTTGCAACTTGGACGCTATTTTTATTCGAAGTAGTACTCGCCAAGCCTGCCAATTTATGAAGAAATGTATAGATGGGTTTTTTAAATATTATTTTTATTGTGTTTGACATAAAATATTTAAATCTAATCCATTATTCATGATTTTACGTAAAGTAGATAGAATACACCATATGTCGCCACCCTTAGCTATACCAAACCTGCCCACTGGTAATTCATTTGTTTGGAATGCCTAATTTTATTTATCTGGGGTCGCTAGTCTACTATCACTTATTCTGACTGGCCTTAAGTGCCAATATGTCAGTTTACGCACTTCCTGACAAATACTAAATATTGTGTTTATTAACCTCAATTAACCTTATTACACAAAAAATGTACCAAGACACAATATTATAAATATGTATAATTTGCAAAAGTTACTATAAATTTACTCGTATATACAGTGATTCCCAAACACACCGAAAAAAATTGTTCAGTCGATATAAAACACAAAAATTAGATTTAGAATATTTTTAAACGCCACTTAGGGGACACCATGAAAGTTCTTTCCGATCTACAAGAACGGGCTAGGAATTTGTTATCCCAAACGAGATCAAGCGCCGATCCTAGTTTGTTGCAGCTGATTGAAGAGCTTTGCAGAGTGGGTGAAAAAGTCAAAGACGAATCGAAAAAGGATCGTTACGATCTTCTTCGTCAGGTAAGTTTTTTTCTTTTTTAAATGTTTATAATTTAATTTCGTTTGTTTGAAAAGTAATTTTTGATATTTTCTCTAAAATATGAAATAAATTAAAACAGTCACTGAAAAACATAAAATTAAAACACAATGAGAAAAAATACAACCGTATTTAATGACTAAAATAACTGACCAAAGTATAATAATAATAATTTGTTTCTAAAAAAAGAGGTTACCTGGAAAGTTTACTGGGAGTTTTGAAAATAAGTAATTTTAAAGATTTCGATGTGCTCTTTCCGAACATATTGGAAAAATTATGCTTAAAAGCAGTTTTTTGACAATATTTCTTTTTCAACTAATTTCACGATAAAAACATTTAAACCTTTTTGTTCGTAAAATCAATAGTTTTAGCGTATGAGCGCCGCAAAGTGTAGTTCAACACGCGTGTTGGCCAAAAGACTCAGGTAGAGGAAGCAGTGCGTTTTTTTTTATCGTGGTATTCCAGGAAGCCTAATCCACATGCAGTTCACTATTCCAAAAGTTAGTCCATTCTTCTTCGCTTCGCTCTTCTTGATGGATCGAGTGTTGCGAGTTCATTGTCTTTAGTACCGATCGAAACGTCACAACATCAACATATAAAAGTAAATTTAATAATGCGTCGCTACCACAAACAGAAGCAGCAACACGACAACATTTGTTCCGAACCTATCATCAGGTTCAGCAGTGGTATGGAAATGAACAAAATGCATAGCAATGGGATGGAAAAGAAACAAGAACGGACTAATTCCTGACCCCCAGTTCCGGAAAGCTTGTTAAAACGTATTTCTTGCAAATGTAAAAAGAGATGTCAGAAAGCCTGTGGATGAAGAAAGGCTGGGTTAAAGTGCTCCGTTATATGCACGAATTGTAGTGGTACCCGTGATAACTCGCAAGTTCCATTACAAGATAGCGATGAAGAGGAAGAAACGGAGACTATTTTCGAGCAAACGTATGATGAAATCGAGAACGAAGATTGGTATGAAACTGATAGGTAATCCCATAGCGAATGATGTGGTAGAAATTTCGGTCTGTGACGTTTCGATCGGTACTAAAGACAATGAACTCACAACACCTGGTTCATCAAGAACAGCGAAGCGGAGGAGAATGCGCTAAATTTTGGAATAGTGAATTGCTTGTGGATTAATCATACTGGGGATACCACGATGAAACGCGCTCCTACTCTACCTCAAGGTAGTTTGGAAATAAGATTTTTGTCCAAAACGCGTGTTGATATACACTTTAAGGCGCTCGTACGCCAAAAATATTGATTTTACGAAGGTCGTTACATAAAGTGTACGAAATTTTCTCTAGTTTCATTTTCTATATTTTCTTTTATGCACCAATTTTCCAATAAAGCGGCGCACACAGGGGCAAAAAGTATCAAAACTTACCAACAATTCTGGAAAGCATTAAAGCTTATACTTTTGTATTCTGGAATATGTCTAAAGTGTAAATGTAACAAAATAATATCAACAGAGATATTATTGACACTATACAGGGTGTATCATTATAACTGACCTCTTAAATTAGGTACAGGCTATTTCTTAAAAAGTTGTGAGAAATTTAAGTAGTAAAACAGCTTATTAGGTATTAGTAGATATATTAAATACTATCTTTTATAACAAAATTATCCCTCTTTGAAATTACATTATTTGTTGAAGACAAAAAAAAATAAAACACAACAGAATATTTTGCTACAGGACACACTTCAAATATTATCAAAATACTAAATTAACATTTTAATTTAATTAAAATTACAATCCAAAGAGTAATCACTATCATAAACAGGACTAATTTGGTCATCAACATCCGGTGGTAGAAGCATGGATAAAGCTTCGCTAAAAAAATAATTTTTCTTTAATTTTGTTTTTTTAATACCAGTAATAACAGGATTTGAAGAGAGAAGATGCCCCTTGAAAACATCTTCATTAATTTTCTTTCAAGCTATTTTTCTGGCGAAGCTTTCTCTAAATTTTTTACAATCCTTGTTTCTACTTTCTGCAGCCTCTTCTGAGAGCTGGTCAACTGGAAGAAGAACAAAACGAATAATTTCTGCACCTGAATTAAAAATAAGTTAACTGTTGGCGTCATATAGTATCAAGGATATTTATCTATGAGTAATTGTGCTGTTTTCCGGCAATTCCTTCCAAAATTACACTTAATTTTTTAAAGACATCTATTTGTGTTATTTTAGAGGAGACTTGCCGTATCATTGCTACTTCCGTATACCGGTTTTGGTTGATCAATTATTAATCCTAATTCCTGTTTAAATTCTCTTTTTTTTTTTCAAATACCTTTTCTTTATCAATAGTGTTTCTAACCTTTTACTGGGAGTTTATATGAAAGGTGCAAAATATACTCAAAAAACTATTATATTATGAGGGCCACATGTAAACTTGACTTTATATGTCCTTTTCTCTAATTATATTATATTGATTACGAGATAATTTCACTTCCACTAAAACTGAAAGTGCCTCATCTGGTGGCAATAGTAGTTGTGATTGGCCAGTTCTGGACGGGAGGTAATGAGAGGTAATTAGTAATTATCATAAGTACCCACCCCCACCCTTCGCGCAATTAGCAAGTACCTCCCAATGAGCGTAATTGCATAGTGTAATTGCATAGTGTAATTGCATAGCGTAATTGCATAGTGTAATTGCATAGTGTAATTGCATAGTGTAATAAGTGTAGTTACTTCATACGCATATAGATATAAGTATTTACTATGTATATCGAGTAGCGTGTAACGATCATAGTAAGTACCTCTTAGATAGTAATTGCTATGTATATCATGTAGTGTAATGGGTTTAGTTCAAGTACGTATGAGTGATTACTATTGTAGCATAGGGGAAATACGTCGGAGCATACCCAACATCCTCGACTCTCAACCGTCAGAGCTAGAGTGAAGCGCGACTAGCGCGAGTCTCCAGCAGACAAGCACGACGTAAACATCGGTGGAAGGGATAGTTCCCCATTCTTCACACAATTAGCAAGTGCCTCTCGGACTTGTATATTATGAATAGGGTAGGGGATCATAGTAGAGGTGGGGATTTTTAGAGGATATATAGTAGCGCTTCTTTCCAAATAAAATCAGTTTGAAATCAACTTAAAATCGTGAACTTTAAGAGTGTTAAGAAATCCTAAATAATAACCGATTGTAGTATTGTGTGTGTTTTACAGGTAAACAAATATTTGTTTGTATTCTACCATGGCTCAATCTCAGATAGATACACTAAATAAGTTAGTTGGCGAATGGTCCACAATATTGGATCAGCGGGAACTAAAGTCATTAGTTGTAGGTCAACTTTATATTATTAAGACGATATTTGTCAAAGATACTAGGTATGGTAAATGTTTACTCATTCATTTAATTGATCGGCTTACACTTGAGCTTTTCCAGTGTTGGCTGCCAAGGCGCATTTTTGAAATAATGCCACCTGAAATCATTGCTACGATTAATGCTACTGCGGGCCAATATGCATTAGTCTATTTAGGGGAAATACCGTGTTATGGCTCAACTACTAGATCTCATATAAGGTTCGATTTAGTTAGTCAGCAATCAATTCATTCATCTGTGGTAGAGTCATTGTAAATATTTTTTTACTTTTAATTACATATAGTATACACATTATTTCATTAGGAATTTCTATAAATTTATTGTAAGTATAACTTGACCCATTTTTGTTCCTTTAATATCGGTCACATATTGTTTCAGATTATTTCGATATGTGGATGATGTATTCCGAAGAGCACTGGCCTAAAGCTATCGACTTAGAATCATCGATAAGCAGACTTGGGAGGGAACTGGATGCACTAGCGATGGATGCTTTACACTCCATCAACTATGATGCCGACATATGGCCGTTCCCGGAAGCCGTAGCATTACAGGGTGAATGGTATGAGAAATACAGTAAAGGTAGCAGTCTTTGCTGTGAATATAATGCATGTGAGCTGGACTTGGATACATTCTGTGAGAAGATGGTTACCTTAAGTTTGAAGCGTTTCTTGAACGAGGTCTTACCATACATCACCCCGCAAATTAGGAGTAAACATGGTTTGGATAGAGAGCCACAGTCAGACGATGAAAATGATTAAGGATTACTTTTATAATATATCTATATGTGTAATTATAATATAAATAAAACAATATACATAGTTTTAATGTTTTTTTTATTTAAAAAAAAGGTTGTTACATGTTATTATGTATTCAGTAAATACTTCTACTACTTATTAGGCCACACCCATTAAAAGGTTAGGTTATTATGTATAAAGTAAATAACGCTACTACCTATTAGGCCACCCCCATTACACCCGTATGCAACGCAAACATGTATATGTTACGGGCAGTGTTGTAAATTGGGCGTAACATATATATTTTATAAATCGAATGCTAGACCATGGCTAATATTAAAATAATAATTTTTCTATGATGGAATAATAGTTGGCGGTGATCTATTAAATTCTAAAATTTGACTACTAATTAGGCATTAATGTTTTTTTGTTAAAAAGATTATATTTTTTAAAGTGATTGAAAGTATGTATAGTAATATATTACATTATTTCTAAAATGTATTTATTTTTTTATCAATTTCCACTCATTGATAAATAGCCCATATATTTATTATATATTTTATAAAAATTGTAAAATAAAAAAAAAAAATAAAAAAAAATGGCCCTACAGCGGAGGAACGAACCCGCTGCATTTCATCGTGAGCACAATGCTAGCTTTTCGCTTAGCCTCGCACCCACGAAGGAGCCCACTTAATGTTTATCGAAAGCTGGTTATAAAGAACCCCGAACCATTGTCCGATTGTCCGATTATCACCATCCCTACGCCAGCCTTTAAGCGGTGTCCGAACCATTTGAATCGGTATTGCCCTACCTGTGGGTACATGGTTCTCGCTCGGCGGGTAGCTTGGAGGCCCGCATATTTAGTGTTGTTTTTCGATTTTAGTCAAAAAGGCGTGACGATTTTCAGTTTAATA